AAGTTCGATCTGACTGGCATTCCGCCAGCACCCCGTGGCATTCCCCAGATCGAGGTCTCGTTCGAGATCGACGCCAACGGCATCCTCCAGGTCAGCGCCGAGGATAAGGGTACTGGCAACAAGGAGAAGATCGTGATCACCAACGACCAGAACCGCCTGACGCCCGAGGACATCGATCGCATGATCCGCGACGCCGAGAAATTCGCCGATGAGGACAAGAAGCTGAAGGAGCGTGTGGAGTCGCGCAACGAGCTGGAGTCGTATGCCTACAGTCTAAAGAACCAGATCGGCGACAAGGACAAGCTGGGCGCCAAGCTGAGCGACGAGGAGAAGACTAAGCTGGAGTCGGCCATCGATGAGTCGATCAAGTGGCTGGAGCAGAATCCCGATGCCGATCCCGAGGAGTACAAGAAGCAGAAGAAGGATCTGGAGGCCATCGTTCAGCCGGTGATCGCCAAGCTTTACCAGGGTGCTGGCGGTGCTCCTCCCCCAGAGGGTGGCGACGATGCCGATCTCAAGGACGAGCTGTAAGATGGCCCCTACACACACAGCCCAGCCCACATCCATTCGAGATCATAGTGTTGGAATTAATTCAGACTGATTAAACAATTATAACTTAATTGCAAACGCAGTAGCCACAACAACAAGAAAAGCAAATATAACAGAGACCACAACAGCAACAGAAATTACTACTTCAAACCCCCAGCAGCCATCCCCCCGCCCTAAGCCCATCCATTCGACCTTTAAGGCAAATTTTCCAAAACCACAAAAAAAAAACACTTAAAACAATTTTTTTTTCTACATTTTAATTTAAAGAATTTTTTGTCAACAAAAAATATGAGAAATGTAATCACGATTTATTCGAGTGTTCCTCGCATTCCTCGCGTCCTTCCGCCCACTCCCCCACGTTAGCTGCATAATTATGTAAAACTGTACATTTTTTTTATATATATACACATAACTGTGACGACTGTGAGCCCCGAGGAGTCGCAAATCAATAGGCTAGCCTACGGATATGTAAAGCGGAAGCAACACAAAAAAACACAATACACAGACAAATGTTATATGTATAAGCGAGTAATAGCCCGATTCCACTGGCACATTTGCATTTCCATTTTTCGAATGCCAGTGCGAATGTGTCAGGGAAGTTGGGTTATATTGAAGAGATATAGAAGAGCGTCTATGCGAAAGCACAGGGAGCTGCGGGCGTGCGGAGAATAGGTCGATTAGAATACAAACGGCAAAAGAGCAAGAGATAAAGCAAAAAAACACAAGAAAACTACTAAAAAGCAGCGGCTATAACATCAGCCAGGCTTTATTAAAGGATTCTTCGATTTTACGAAGAATTTTCTAATTTATTTAAAAATAAAATAAAAAAAAAATTGAAAAAATAATTTAGATTGTTTAATTTTTTGGGTGAACATAAATTTAGTTTTTCAGATGAAAACTGGCTAAAGAGGTTTGGATTTGTTTCCCTACATTCTTTTCTTATTGAAAATAAATTCAATCTTTAAAAAGCGAATTTTATTTAAATCATTTCTCAAAGTAGTGCAAAATATAAAGAAGAAATGTGTTTAATAAACACTAAAAAGTTTTCAAAAAGTAACGGTTTTCTTGTGTTACAATATTAAATAACGTTGTTAACAGGAAACTTGGTCCATAAATTTTAGGCAATAGACTTTCTAATAAATAAACAGTATAACAAATTTTGGCGTCGAATGGTTAAATTTAATGGGAATAATGTAAAAGAAATAGGGCCCTTTTTTATAATTATGTAAACTTACCAGTGAACCTGGTTTTTAAGCATTTTTATTTTAATATTTTAAAACTTTATATTACAAGAATTTCCCACATAAAAAGATAATTTCAGGTTTTATCATCTTTATTGTTTTTTCTCCATTCGCTGGCATCGAAATTCATCTTCATTTCCTTGCGCATCATATCAACCTTATCTCTGTTTTGTTTTATAATTCCTGCGATAACGGTATTATCTTCTTACTCCAACTGCTTCCTCACTTTTTTTTGTTTTAATCTTAATTATTCTTAAATACATTAAAAAAATACATAAAATATTTTGTTGGTTTCTTTTTTTATGTTTTAAATATCAGTTCTGTTCTCGTTTTCGCAAACGGTCTTGAATTTAACGAACTCGGAACAGCGGAAATTTCACCTCACCGCAGAACTTTTAAATTTCTGGGCTCTTTGGGGAAGTGTAAATATTTGAAATTCCGTTTTCGTTAAATTTAAACCCAATTCGAATTTGGGAACAGGTCTGGATGTGTATGTGTGTGTACATATATAAATAAGCTAACGGTATATTGTTTATATGTTATATGTATATGTATTTCTATATAAGTATATGCACTCTCAGATTTCGAAAAGGGGAACACCGATATTTGAATTCGGGTCACGTTCAGTTTTGGTTTTTACTGTTTTTATTGCTGTTGTAGGTTTTCTGCTTTCAGCTATAGATATTTCAAAGTTTTTGAAGTAGTACGCTTTAATAAGGAAGCAAATAGGCTGGGAATCGGAATCGTTTTCGGATTTAGTTTTTGTGGAAAGAAATGGGGCAACAGAGGTGGGTATCCGGCCACTTGACTAAATATTTAAAAGACTATTTCTAAATCGGTTTAGCCCCTTTCATTTCACTTAGTAAATAAAATGCAAAGAATAAAGTCGAATACACCTGATCAGTGCGACCTGAGTTTTAGTGCAATTAGAATATCTTATTAGAGGAAAAAGTAATCTAATAACAGTAAATTTAGGACAAATTCAAAGCAACTCTGCCAGTTTTTAAACCCTTTAAACTAAAAATCCTTTAACCTCAAATTCATATATTTTAGAAAATTTGAAATATAAGTTTTTGTATTTTTTAACATTTTTTCTATAATATTCGAAATATTCAATAAACTAGTTTAAAAATTCGGATGCTTGCACAATTATTTCCTGATAAAAAAGCTATACTTAAATTATGCAAATGTACATTTTTTTTAATATTAGATTACTTTTTACCTTTTTCACTAAAGCTCTGGCCACACTGCACCTGATCCTATTTTCTTTTCTTATTTTTCGGACAGGAGCTGACTGTGTGTTTCGTTTCTGTATATGTTGAATAAATGGCTCTTCAGCTTTTGAATCCAGCGTTGAAGATTTTGATGTTGGTCCTTCCTGTCTATCTGGGGTTCTTTCGTACAGATATTCTCGCTCGTTTCTCCAAACTTTTTTCCTCAGTGTGGCCCGGCCTGGTGTGTGTTTGTATTCATGTGTCTATGTGTGGGTGTGTATCGGCTGCTGGACTGCTTTACTGCACTGCTTGCGCTTAGAGGCGCTTGGGAACCGTATCGGCATTATTCTCAGGCTCTTCGTCCTTGGGCGGCTGACCACGTTGCTGCACGGATCAGCGAATTAACATTATCAAAACGGATCGGATCGTATCAAATTGTTAAAAAAAAACACACACACAAGGCAAAAAATGGAAGAGAGGAGAAAATAGAAAAAGAAAGCAGAAGAGAAAGAAGAAACACACACATCAATATCAATTTAATCAATTGTAGGAATAAATTCCACCATGGTTCCAATTCGGCAAAATCAAAATTAATGCCATTTCACTTTATTTTTTTAAGGATAGAATTAATACAGTTTTTAAATGTTAAAGCTGGATTTAAGTTTAAAAAAAATGTAAGTTGTTATATTGTTTTTTTCTTATTAGCCTTTTTGGTTTAATTTGCGTAAAAGTGAAATTGCATCAATACCCATTCTGCCAAAATTATTTTAAAATTGAAAAACGGGAAAGGAGGATTTTAATGGTATGGAATGGCTGAAGATGTTGATCTGAACCGTGAATGTTTATACCAAATGAGCTGGCAGGGCCAACGAAAAAGCCAGCTGACGAATGTAAAAAATAAATTTGTTTTTTTGTTATATAAATTCCAGGGAAAATCCGGGGTGATATGCATGTCCTTCTAAATCTCCAAATTCTTAGTAATCTTCATTATGTGTGTGTCTCTGCGTCTCTGTGTTTTATAATTCATTCACCATTTCTTTACTTAATTTTAGGGGTAGTTTCGATGTCTCAGGAAATTAAAAAAAGGGCTTTTCGGTATTGTAAAGAAATTACAAGTATTTTTTTAAAGTTTATTTTTTTAAAATTAGTTTTGAATTTTAGTTTTATTTTTTCAGGGACATAATTAGAAAGTTCCGCAAAGTATGCTGAAGAAAGTGTATTAAAGATTTTCGGAATTAAATAAAAATACTTAGATTTCAAAGAAACCTTTTTTTTGTTCAGAACGAAAAAAAGGGAATTTTTGCGATTATTTTTTTTTCAATCTCTAGAGTTTTTTTGAATACCCATAAAAGTAATTTATACCGAGTGCCAGTGATAAATAGAGGGTTATTGTGTTGTCCATGGAATGGAGTAGCAAGCAGTGCCGAACATTGTGTACATTGGGAGGTGTATGGATGGCGAGTGAGGTGCGTGTTTGACCCATTTCAGTTAACATTAAAAATAAACCAATAATGTATAAGTTAAGCATATTTATTTGTTGAATTCGTTTCACATTCGCATTCAGGTCGGCCAGCTAAGCGGGAAATATGTGGGGAGTATAAAATAAATTAGCCAGGCGGATGCTGCAGCAGCCAACTTTTGTCACAACCGGTTATATATAGCACTGTATCGTCGTTATGGGTTAATGCAAGATTATGGAGTGAATAATATGCGAATTAAAACTTTTCTAACGCAAACGTTCTTAGGTCAAAACGAACTAAAATAACTTTTAACTTCCAATGCCTAATATATGATTTAAAGAATAGTTTAAAATTTCTTTTTTTAAGGCAAAACCCTGTTTCTAACAACCAAAAAAACTAGCTGAGCTCATTAAAATGATTGAAAAATAATATATATTATAACTTTTTACCAGCGAACTGAACTCCTTTTAACTTCTTAAAGTTATTTAAAAAAAAACTACGGATTTATAATGAAAATGTCAAAACAATCAGATAAATAGAATTCCTTTTTCATTAAGATTTCATAAAAGATAGTCTACAAAATATTTTAACATTATTTCTGCAACTTTAAGACTCCATAAAAAATATTTTTGTGCAAGTTTAAGAAGTTCGTCTGTGGAAAACGGAGAGGGCTCTACGCACAACGACGATCACTCGGCCTCGGCCTCGGGATCAGGACGACTCAGGATCTCCTGACAGAGTGCAATGTAGTCCTTTAGGTGCCAAGCGCATAGCATATAGAAAAGTGAAATCAAATTAAAAAGGTATGCGAAAATACCCAGGAACAGAGCACATGGAACATTGAACACAGCGGTGACACGCAAGTGACCGACATTAAGACAGTTACAGTCAAAATAAAAGCCCTAATTCGGAAATATTGTAATTAAATTAACTATTATTGAGGTTAGTAAAACATAATTACAATGATCACAAAAACTTTTAGGAATTTAATTTTAAAGAGATAAATCAGTTGAATTGGATTATTTAATGACCTATGGCAATTTTTACGAATGTCAAAAGTCTAGTCCAAGCTATATGAGTGTGTGGCATACATTCTTATTAAGGGATTTTTGAAACTTAACGTACATCCCTAGATAGTAATATATAATAATAATATTTTGACTGTAACTGTAAATGATCTTAATACATTTAAGTGAGGGGATATCTAATTCGAAGTGGCGAAATGATAGACGGCGATTTGTATTAAATATCAGTTTTGTTTTTATTTTAGTAATTGTTATTATTACTTTTGTTCTCCATTATTTTCATTTCTTGTTTTGTTTTATTTTCTCATTTATTAATTGTAAACAGTTTTCTGCACACTTTCAGATTAACTTATCAACGGTCCTCGGCCTTTCTATCGATCTCTATATAGATTTCCATATATATATATATATTTATACTTTATTTCTAATTTTCTTAAAAAACGTTCTTCACTTCTTGTTTTATTGTTTGTTTTTTGTTTTGTTTTGCGTTCTTTTAATTTTACGCAAATATTCATATTGATCTTAACAACATAAAAAAAAAACAAATTGATTCGTTTTGGCAGAATAAATGCAATTCTACATCATTACAATTGGGAAATGCTCTTGCACTACATACAATACGTTTAGAATTAAGGAACTAAAAAAAAACAACAAGGGTGAGGGAAGAATTCAGTAGAATTAAAATGGAAACGATTCTGAATTGGACCCTTAAAAAACTAAACTATACCGATTAATGCCGCTACAACTGGAACGAAGCCAAAGCCATGTATGTATTATAATTTTTTTAACTTTACTGAACACACAATCAATCAATTTTAAATGCTGGCTTTTCGATTTATTCATCATTTGCGTTTTTGATTGATTGTTGAACACAGTCACACGATTTTTATTGCTTCTGCGAACGATAAGGCAACACTTGCCGTTACTCTTGGTTTTATTACAGTGTGTGCACTTGGGAAAAGGATGCATTGCGTGGTCCTTTTCCCTTTTTCCTTCTTGTCCGTGCATGCTCATGAGTGTGTGTGTGTCTGAGTTGAGTGTGTGTGTATGTGTGCTTTTTGGGGCTTCTTTTTAATTCATTTGTTTCGTTGCGTGGGCGCTGCGTGCCGTGTCTCTTCCTCGTCCACATCCTTATTTTCCAAGCGGCTGCTTCTTTTCTCCTCCTCTTCGTTCTGTGGGTTTTGGGGTTCTGTGTGTGTGTGTGCGTTTGTGTGAGTGAGTGGATGTGAATGACTGAATTGAATGTTTTTTCTCTTGTTTCGGTTTCTTCTTGAGGGAGCTGGGTTATCCTTAATTCTTGCCCGCCGCTGGCTTGGGGATCTTCGGCTTATTCGCAGGCGTTACTGGCTGCTATGGGATTTATACAGGGTATCATTAGCGTTGTCGTTTACATAAATGCTGATCGTTATTTTTGTTTTCTTTATTATTTGGAAGTACTACGTTGCTTATATCGTTGTTTTCTCTACTTTAATTTACTTTCTCCTTTTCCTATATCTCTCTCTTTCTCACACACTCTCTCTTCTCTGTCTAATTCGAGTCTCTTTTGTTTGTTTGTTTCTTGTTTTTAATTTTTTTTTTTGGTCAAGTGTTGCACTGCCAGTGTTATAAAATGCCACACAAAAAACATACATACATCAAAGGTGACGAAACGAACGATTATTAAAACACAAAAATCGGTTAATTGACTAAAGCAAATAATATATATATATGCAAGTGTATATGTGTGAGTGTTTGTGTTTATATGAGTTATGCATGTATAGTCCTCGAACTTAAAAATCAATCTTAAGGATTTCCTGCTCTCGGTAATACTAATAGCTAACATAAATACATATGTTTTTGCATGTTTATATATATTTTAGATAAAAAGAATTGAATTGAAGAAAATAAAAATTTAAATCGCATGAATGCTTTTTTGAATGTGCTAAATGAATAGGTGTGTGTGGGTTTATCCTTTCTTCTATTTCGTTTTGTAATACAATTTTTCTGTTTAATGTTTAATTTCTTTGTTTTTTTTTTCAATGTTTTAAATATAAACGCAGTTTGTGTTTTTTTTTTTTTAGTTTTTATATTTGTATAAATGATTCTTTGCTCCTGGCGCTCAAAAACCTCAATACAGTTGTCTCTCTCTCCGTCTCGCTTCTCTGTCTCTCAGTGTGGTTTTTGTTGTTGTTGTGGTTGTTGTGTGTTGCTGTCTATCGGTCTTCCCGTTGTAAACTATCGTTTCGATTTTTTGTTTTGTTTACATGCAATATGGATTGTTTTTGTTGTTGTAGTTGTGTTCGTGCGTATGTGTTTGTGTTTTTTTTGTTGGGGTTTTATTGAATTAGTTTTTCTACACACAATGTTAAGAATCGATCGATTGGAACGATCGAATGTAGATCGATAGGTTTTATCAGACAGGCAGAGACACGTTCAGATTCATTATCATATCAGGTTCAGGTTGTCGATCGGATTTTGAGGATGTTTGATTTGATTTTATTTGGTATTTGTGGTGGTTGGTGGTTTTGTATGTGTGGGGAGAGAAAACAAATAAAAAAGATATAATATATATATATATATGCTTAGTTGAATGATTCTTAGGTGGCGTTTTTTTTAGTCAATATATAGATTTTTAGATTCAAAATAATATACAACAAAAAAGATGAGAGAGTGGGGTTATAAGGGTAAAGATAATAGCTAGTTAATAAGTTTTAAATTTACCGCTCGTAGTGGCATTTTGAAATTGGCTGCTGCCTGCAGCTGAATTTGATAAGCTAAGCTGTGTATTTTAAAGCCATACAGCCTGTTTGTAGTTCGAGTTGCCGTCGAAGCAGGATTCGTGTTGGATATTTGCAAACATAGAAGATACAGAATGTGAAGTTGAGCATAAGTACATCGGCGTAAGTTAAGTCAAAAGTCACCTTGGAACAAACTGATTAGTAGGACGCTTGGGACGATACTCGGGATGCACCATGAAGAGCATGTGTGGAAATCCAGTGCCAAAGTAGGCGCCATCGGTGTGGTGGTGGCGCGATGATTTGGGTGTGTACACGTCAATGCACTTAGGGCAATAGGTCTTCACCATTGCCTCGCCGGGAATGTCCGACAGACCTGAGAAATAAATACGGGTAAGATCAATAAATGGTTGAGCTTATAAAGTTGGGACTAAAGTTTATCTTGGAGTTAGGATAAGAAACTAGTATTATCTTTCATTCGCAAATATTTGAGTTCCCAAGAAATGTTTATGTTTTTATGCTGGCAACAAGTTTTAATCGGGCTTACAGAAATAAATCTATATGAAGTTATAGACAGACTAACAAAAACAAAAAGGGAACGAAAATATTTTAGACCAGACAGTATTTTAGTAAGCATCTTCCAGCTTTTACCGCGATGCAACCTTTCAAAATTCAACTAATTTCTACGGTTTTCAATTAAAAACATTCTAAAGAAATGGATAGATCAAAAGTATGCACCAATGCGTAATGTACAAATACAAGTAAAGTGTTTATTTTTCTGATCAATTTCACAGTCGTCTAGCTTATACAAATTAGAGAGTAGAAAAGCTGATTTAAAGAAATGCGAGAAAATCGAATTTGGATTGCAGTCATTCGAGCTCCGTGAAACAAATTTACATAAATATTTAAGTTATTGAAGAAACGAGAAATAAACATGTTTAGAGTTTGGATTACGATTAATCATCATTTATCATTCACGTAGCGTTAGAAATATAATAAATGCATATATTTTTTACACATATCTGGCTTGAATTTAAATTGTAATAGCCAATTAAATGCTATATCTAATAGTCCCATTTGACAATGTTTTAATCTAGCGAATGTCTTATTTTGCATAATTATTGAGTATAGATTTTTAATGACATTATCGAAACAATCCTGACTTTTTGATTATGAAGTTGAAGTCTAAGAGCTAGGGAATTCTCTGGAATGATTTACTTATTTCTAACAATGTAATTATTGTGGTGAAATGATTGATTACAATATATGAGGTTTGTAGGCATCAGTATTGATATTCTAGAAATTTGTAAGCAACGAAGTTCAAGTATAGGCTCTTGACGTCTGTTTATACTGACATATAGTTTGGTTTGGGAAACATAATTAGCTCCTATATTAATGTGGCATAACAAATACAGGTAAAGTTTTCGAGTTCTAAACTAATCTTACTCCCTGGGAAATGAGTTGATTTTACTATCAAGGTTAATTAAGCGATTTGTTTAGACTTGGAAATGATCTAGGTAGATTCATATCCGTTATTCTGTAAACGAATTGGTCAAGAATGATTTCTCAAAATCGAGCCAGATTGTATTTTTAGGATCTGTTCTTCGATTGGAGTTCAAATTTTAGATACCAAATTCAAGTAAATGTGTTACTTGGGATGATTTAAGTTGGACGGGTCATTTAAGGATTTGTTATTCCGGTAAAAGTATTAATTAAAAAAAAAAGAATATACATTTTACTAAGAAAAATGCTAGCTTTTGAAAATGGAGTCAGATTATAATGAAATTTAGTTGCCCAACAATTGGCTTTTCATGAATTCGGATCAGTTTGGAGTAGAACAGATTAGTTGTGGAAAATTAAGGCTGATCATAGCGATGATAAGTTCTACTTGGGACACTTTAAGTTTGACTGAATTTTCAAGGATCTGTTTACGCACCTAAGGGCAGCATGGGCTGACTTTCGCAGTAGACACGTGGGCAGTGTCCGAAATCGCCAGTTTGATATTTCTCGATCATTTGAGCGATGCCGCGATTTGTTAGTATATATCTAGCGTGTATAAGGCCGTAGAGCATCTCGGCGGCCTGCTCGGTCATATCGGACTGCAGGGGATTGTCCTCGAGTTCGTCCTCTGGAAATCATACAATATATTAGCAGGATATTTGGATTTACAGAGTTAATGCGCCACTTACCCGGCTCCAGATCCAAGATCATGTCCAAGGCCTGGCGATAGTTGGGCACCTGCTCATTTAAACCAGTTAAATTGAATTTATCCTGTATGTAGTCCTCGTCCACCTGAAAATTGAGGCGAAATTAGATCTATCAATTGAATATATATATATATATATATGGTTTATCTTATGTGTGTGTGTGTACAGTTGGGCACAATATTGCCCCACCTTGCGGCACACACACACATTTACAGCCGCAGCTCAGGGCTGCACTTTGTAATTGTTGCACTTATAGCGCGCGCTTAGATAACGCCAATATAGCAATTCGGGGGAAATATGGTGGGCAATATCTCACCTCGCAGAAGAACTCATTGCCACGAAGTCCGCAGAACCAGGTGACCCAGGAGACTTCCTCGGAGCTGCTCATTTTGCTGCAAAATAATTGAAAGGAATTGCAACGTTTTTTTCTGACAAATTATCCTGCACACGCATACAACTATGCACATGTCACACACGGACAGGGCACACACACACACACACACTGGGGCAAACGCTCACGCACTATTACATACATTAAGGGGATTATTTTGCGTAATTTGGCCAGGCGAGCGGAATTTATTGTTGAAATACCATGGATCGCAAACTTAACGAAAGTTTTTCTTCGTTTTTTTTATCTATTTGACTCCGCTTCTTGTTGCTCGCACACACTTTCACACACACTCTCTTTTTCCGCTCCTTTTTTTTGGTAGGTTTGCGTGTTTTCTTTTTGTAATGCGTTTTCCTTCGCTTTCGAGTGTTCCTAGTTGTTTAGGTGATCACGCCGTGTTGAATGGGGCAAAATTAAATTATTATACTCGTATTTTGACAAGCGCTCATACAAAATGTGCCGAGCAGTAAGAAGAAGCACACTTTGGAAATTGAGAAAAAAAGAGACACATATACAGGGGCCCACACACACCCACAAACATAGAGACAGCACACACGCACGCCTTTACACCGAGAAGCGCAATCAACGCACATACGCTCTCCTTTTTGCATTATTCCCGCTGCGATTGCCTTTCAGTGGCTAGCACTCACCTAAATTGTTAATAATTACGCGAATTGATTGACGTTTGCAATGCAGCAGAACCGGTAAAGGCAAATATTGTAGCGAAGACGGGGTACCAGGTATGCAATAGCGCCTATCGATAAGCCGTGCCTGGCGATAGTCTATGAATGGGTGCACCACCCCTATACGATACATTGAAATGTGATATTTGCATGATTTGCAACACTGATTCAACTAGAGCGCCCACTTTGGTTTTTTTTAGTGCGGACTCTATATTGACAGTCGTACAGAATTCTGCCAGTCAACTCACCGCAATTGTACCTTTCTGCACTTCAATAGCTTCAATACTAACTTTTGCAGTTGCAAAGCGGAAGTAAGTCTAACTAGTTGCAACTCATCCATTTTGTAATTTGCACAACACTAAAAGCTTTGCATTCGGGAATTTTACAGCACTTTAACGAATCAGCTGTTCCCTTGGTTTTTGATTTGAAATATCGATATGTATAATATTATATATCGATATGATTTTTTTTCAAAAAACATTCGAGGGGCGCGAAACTTTTTTATTAAATGCACTTTGTATTATATTTAAGTACAGCATAATTTAAACTGTCTAATTTATATTTTATATACCGACATTTATTCAAAAACCATTTAAAATTTCGAGGAAGATTTTACTTCTGCTTTAATAATTTTAATATTTTAGATCTGAGGAATTCTTACAAATCAAAATACATTTTTACTATCTACAAATCATATATAGTTTTTGTTATATAGTATCATTTAGAATAATTAAATAAAACATGTTTTAATATATGAATATTAAAGTGGGAAAAAAAATAAAACAGTGATTGAAAATGATCTTACTTTCAAGCAAGATGCATTTGGTGGATAAATAATGTCACAGATTATTGACAACCTTAAATATTTCCTTGGCATTCTGGCGACCATTTACGACGTAGGCCAGCGGATCGTCCCGACTTGATTCCATCAGATTGTCGCAAGATTCCTGTCCGATGTTGAACATAAAGGATGCGTCGATGTCCTGCGGCAATTTTCCCCGAAGGAAACTGATCTCGTTGTCGGCCAACGCCGTCTTGCGGGCCAAAAGCAGGGCGGAAAGGTATCGCGGTTGCTTTTTCTTTTCGGCACAGTGCATCAGCAGGCCCCAATTGTCGTAGTCTGTGTCCAGGACGTACGTGTTGTATATACCCTCATCTGGAATGGAAAAGGGTATGTTAACAATTTAGCCAATTAAATGCCTTCACAAATGCCCATTTAATTTTGATTATAATTCAAAAATCTTTATCTATCTGTATCACAATTATCAAAATAATAATTTTATTATACATATCATTAAAATGTCTCAATTCTAGTTATTCAGTTCTGGATAAAATGAAGTAAATTATAAAGTTTGTGTATTCCTACAAATATGTTAAAATATACCGAATATTTTCGGTTCCCAAAACTATGCAAATAAATATCGAAATCAGCTTAGCTAAGCCTACAATTTATTGCATACTTGAAGGCATTTTTGTTGTTATGCCATTGTTCTGGATTTTAACACCGCAATTTCTTCTGTACTTACATATATCCTCCGTGTGCTGCCAGTGTCCCGGCTCCCCGAACTTGGGTATCATCCAGGTAATGTTGCCAACAAGCTTCTCTCGCAACGGATCTTCCGCAAATATATAACTAAAGTTCATCGTTATCTATTTGAAATGGGACACCAACATTATATCGTATAGAGATTAAATAATTGTAGGCACCCACATGTTGATCATCCTTGGAGAAGGAGAAGTGGCTGCGCATGCAAGCGTATTCCGGTAGCTCCTCCGTGGAAGCATAATACTGCACCACGTGCCAGAAGCCCATCATCCGTTCCAAATCGAAGTTTTTAATAGCTCCCACCTAAAAGGAGTATATTTTGCTCTGTGATTTCTAAGGCCTTTTCGTACGAACTGTTCTTATTATAACTAATAGGTTGCGCTAAAAAAACAGGTCATATGTACATAAATAGCTATGTACATATATATGTACATGATTATTGTATGTATTCCAAACTTATGAGCATTAGGGTGTTAAAAAAAAAATATAAAATATATGTCCTTTTTATTTCTTAAAAATTACTCATACGTATAGAATGTCAGTTAGAATTTTGTACAAATAATTTTTCTCCATTTCTACCCTAGTCAAATCATTGATTTTGGTTCAAACAAGTTTCAAAATATGGAGAAAACAAATCCAAGTCTACGTCACCAGGATGATAATCAATTATTTTATCAAACGTTTTTACGTTTTGATAAAACGTTTATACCTTTTAATAAAATTATTATACGTTTAACACAAACTTTTAACCTTAAAACTATTTCAGACTATCAAACCAACATAATATACGTATATTATTTATAATGCTGCCTTAAATCAGGTAATCGTATAAGAATTTATTCTAATTTATGCATTTATTCTAAGTTCTGCAGTAAAAATATTTAAAATCGAGGACGGAAGATAACGTCAGCAAGCCGAAGTTTTAATACCCTTGCAGACATATAAAAATAGAAAAAAGGGATATTTTCACACCTTTTAACCATTATTCCTATGGAAGCTATAAGATGTAGACGTCCGATCGGCAAGCGCTTTTACCATGATCAAGGTTTGCGTAAATAAGTAAGACTTGGAAAAATTAATGTCCTGCGCGAAATATCCTGAAAAACATCAAATTTGGACCGATTTCACCCTATAATTCCTATGGAAGCTATATGATATAGAAGTCCGATCGGCACGCTCTTTTACCCTGATCAAGGTATGCATAAAAAAAAAAGATTTGGAAAGATGCATGTCAAAGCTTTTACACTGCGCTAAATATCTTCAATTCTTGCAAGGTACATATATCCGATTGTTCCTATGGGAGCTATAGGATATAGACGTACGATCGGGGCGCTTTTCAAACTTGACCTGCGTACACATGTTTTAGGACGACTGTGGAAGTTTCAGATCGCTAGCTTTTAAACTAAGCTCGCAAACAATATTGAAACAGACGGACAGACGGACGGACGGACATGGATCGACTCCCCTATTGATCCTGATCAAGAACATACAAAGCCAATACAGAGCTGCAGGACAAACATCTAAAACCCACCGTTAAGCATGACGGCGGACACGTTATGGTTTGGGCCTGTAAGTCCGCAGCAGGAGTCGGAAACCTAAAATTTATTGAAAGCATAATGAATAAAAATGTTTATCTTAATATCCTTAAGGATAATTTACTCCAAAGTGCTGAGAAATTGGGAATAAAACAGGGTTTTCGGTTCTACCAAGACAATGACCCAAAGCATAAGTAGGGTATTGTTCAATATTGGCTGGGATATAATTGTCCCAATATAATGAAATCTCCAGCTCAGTCACCCGATTTTAATGTTATTGAGAATTTGTGGGCTTTGCGGGTCTCAAAAATTCGGGAGCGCAATATTTCCAATAAAAATGACTTGAAAACGGCTTTGCTCGAAGAATGGGCTAAAATCACCCCAGGAACATCAAAAAAATTGGTCGAATCTATTCCCAATCGACTTAAGTCGGTTGTGGACCAAAAGGGCGGACATACCAAATACTAAAAGTTAAAAAAATATATTTTTGCAATTTTTTATAATTAATTTGATGAACTGGGTCAAATAAGCTGTGACATTGAAAAAGGCAGTATTTTTAGTTTTTATTGTTTAATTAAGAAGTTCCTTGCTAGAATAAATAAATGAAAACATATTTTTGAAGTTAAAACAACAGTTAACCTTTCTGCGTTTTATTTTTATGGGTATCTCTTATGGTTCAGGAGTTATACCTGTTTAATGTTGAAAATTAGGTGTGGGTCAAATAAGCTGTGAGCCACTGTATTTACTTTATGGGGTCGGAAACGTCCTTCACTGCGTTACAAACTTCTGACCAAAATTATAATACCCTCTGCAAGGGTATAATTAGAACAACATTCCGAAAACTAAAAGGAAGCTTAAAGCCTCAATAATAATCTTAAAAAAAAATGTTATTGAATTGATTAGGTCAAGGCTGTAAGCAGGCTAATAAATAAATACGCTAAGTTACATTAAGGCCATAAATGCTAGTTTCCCCCTTCAACTTTGGCTAGCTGGAGCTATTTACATTGTTTGCCTTAGCGACCACAAAACAAACTTCGGGAGGAGAAAGAGAAAGAGTTAAAGAAGCGACAGACGACGAAAGCCGTTAGCGCTGTCACCGTGATTGACTACTGACAGTTCATTGAGGAGTCGGTGTCGCTGTCTCTGTTGCCATCTCTCTCTTCAACGCTACTGCCGTCTCTTTCGCTGTCTTTCAAGACGCGACTTGCAGACGCGAAATGCAGACGCAAGTCAGCCTCTGATTGATGCGCCTCAAAAGCGCATTGCCCCGCATGTGCCGCCCCCTTTTTACTCCTCTTTCGCTCCCCTTTCTCCCCACCTCTTTTCCCAAATCTCTGCGTGCGTGTCTTTTGTCTATTCTTTTTGATTGTTTTCTGGCTTTTGGCTCGCTTTTCGGTGTTTGTATTTGTGTGACTGCACCTGCATCAAAGTGCAATTGTCGCCGCCAACGGATATGTAGACAGAGGTGAAGAAAGGGGTAAAGAAAGACGTAAAGAAAGGGGCGGAGAAAGGGGGCCACGGGGTGGGAAGACAGCGAGACGCAGACGACGTCTGAGCCACTTAGAAAGTGTGATTGATTTTGGCATCGGTGTGAGCCCATTTCTTCTGCCTTGCTCTTTCTGCGCCTCACTTTAATGTCCCATTCATTCTTGTCGTTAGAGATGGAACGTGCTCGATAATCGAAGGAAGTGTAGGGTATCTCAGTTACCATTTACTGTGATAAAAAGGTTGAAATCCAGACAAAATTCACATTTCCTCACTTTCTAATGGAACAACATTTTTTACGGAGCTAATAATGCAAACAATCCAATCACCTACCATAAGCCGTTCCTATTACTGTTATAAAATGGTTCATTCTTTGTTTTAAATGATATTTCCTAAAATATGCGGACCAGGAAACTGTTTGAGATAATTTCCTGAATTTTAGCAAACTTTGTTTTCTGGCGATAATATTATCATCAAGACATAAAAGCTACAAAAAAAAGCTTGTCAGATAGGTAAGCTAAAATTTAACATATGTTTCTATGAGTGGCTTCTTCCTGCCATCTTCGATTAGTACATACTTACATATAATGTACATAAAGCTCCAACCTAAATGGTGTAAAAAAGTTTTTGTGACACGCTACTAAAAATGGAATTACCGAAGTTCAACTACAAACGTACTTATACTCGGGTATTCTCAATATTTAAATAGATGGTGTCATCGCTAGTGGCTCGAAATATGTCACAGTGTGACCGGCATATTGATGAGCCTTTGAGCTTGAGTTTAAGTTTGTGTTTGGGTTTGAGATGCTTTCCTCCGGCGGCTGTGCTCAGAATGAAATCGAATCGAAGTGAAGCGTTGCCAAAGAAAGTGATCCAGTTAGGACAGCCAGGGACGTGACCAGGGACGGGACTTCTAAAACTGCACCTGCATCTAAATATCTAATGCAGTCTTAACTGTCTGACGTTCTATTTGTTTTGTTCTTTACTCAAGCATTCGTTTCCTAAAAGGTGACCTCAATTTCTAATCGTATCAGTATTTCATTTTTTTTTTAATAAATATTGTTACGAAATTTGCATGGGATCTAGTAAACCCATACAAATGCTAACACATATTTAGTGATTATTATAAGGGGCTTTAATTTAACTTAATTGTCATTCACTTAGTCACTGTGGTTTTACCCAGCTTTTTTATACGGCGTCTTTTGCCGATCTAAATTAAACTTTAAAGTTATATCAAGTAGGACAAAGTCTGAATTATACTCAAAGGTATATGTATAAACTATACAGCTTTCCATAGGGCTTCCTAAGGCTTTTCTTCGTTGATGTGTGATCCAACAACGACAATTATTACGATTTTAGTGGTAGGAGGGTCCAATGAATAGGGTACACACCTTGGGACACTGATTACTCGGACCGGAGCGTCTTCTGGTCTGATAGGCATTGCTGTTGTATCGTGTCCAGAGATTAGCATCCACTGATGGGAAAACATCCAGGATAATTAGAAGTACGGCGAACAGCAGGAGCGATCCATTTCGGCCCATGGTCGGGGCCATTTTCCGGATTTTGGGGGGCTGTAATTGGTTATTGTCGATAATCTTCCGGCGGGCTCAGACGCGCGATCGGCTTTGCGTTGTCGTTGGCACTGTTTTCCATGGCGCTGCGCCATCTCCGCGAGCAACATGCGACATTAGCATCCAGCAGTAACTACACTTCGAACAATTTTAAAAAATGAAATCTTCAAGAAACTTCTTGAATACTAATACCCTAAACTAATAATCATGTATTCATTTTATTAAGCGTGAAGTTTCCTACTGGATGAATTATATATGGCTTAAGTTATAAAAAAAATAACATTCCAAATAAGTTTGTCATTGCAAATAAACTTTTTTTCTCAACATTTTTTCAAGTGTCAAGCAGCAACAGCAGCGGATCGGAACGCAACGGATTCGGATGTTTTTGCGGATAAGGCGCCTTCTTATTGCCACAGACTTCTATGGGAATGACAGTGGCTGGCTCATTATCGGGAAGCTGAAAATAAATGCGACATTACTGAGTACTTGTCTTTTTTTTAGCTAAGTATAGAAGTTTATTTGTGTATAGACAAATATAGGAGATTTTTAGAATTAGAGGAGTTCACTTTATAAATGGGATTTACTTCACATAATGGATGAACATAAAGAAAAGTATAAGATAAATATTTTTAACATTTTATTTGAAATTTTTCTTAAGGCTTATCACCGTGGAGGTAATTAAAATATCTTAAAAAATATATTTTTTTAAATTTTTTTAATAAAAAAAAAAAGCCTGGCCTTGCTACTACCCCCTAAAATTAAGTGGTTTTTATAGATGATCGCATCACTTTTCGGCGTGGTGAATTGCCCCGCTCATTTAAATATTTGAATTTAATCAGTCGCAATCCCTCGCACTTGCTCTCTTTGCAAAGTGCGGGTGAGTAATCCGCTCTTATCAATTATAACGTCCGCTCGAATGCTGCGAAGTTCCAGTCAATGCCATACATCCACACTTCCATATAAAAATATATGTATGTATGTAGAGTCTGGGAAGTGGGGGAATTAGTATTTTTGGTTGCATCTTGTTTTCACTTGTCGCGTGGACGCAGATTTCCTGATTTCCAGGCAACTTTCTCGCCTCGGAGAGCGAAATTTTCGGGGTGGTGTGTTAGTTGTGTGGTGGAGGTGTGTTGTGGTGAGGGGATGGGTGGGATATTGTGGGGAGTGGAAACAGGAAACATTTTAATAGCCTGCAAATTTATTCTTTACGATCGTCAGAACGAACACCACTCCGCTGGACACTTTCTCCTTATTGCGAAACGAGTTGCGCGGCATTTTCACGACCGAACTGGAATGAAACTGGACATCCTCAGAGTTACTGCTACTTTTGCCGCAGCTTCTTCTTCCGCCTGCGTCTGCTTTTGCAGTTTTTTCTTGATTTTTTCTTAGTTTATTTTTTGTATTTTTTTTTGGTTTAGATGTCTGGTTTTTGTTGGCTAGCCCAAAAAGACGGCGCAACTTTCGTCGCCGCATTGCGTTGCGATGCGTTAGCGGCAAGTTCCGGCTTCTACCACAGCTCCTTCTTTGCTCCTCTTCCCCCCACCTTTCTTCACCTTTCTTCCTCCGCCTTTCGCCTCCCCTTTTATTTTTTCCATTGCAGACGCGGCTTTTAATGCGACAGCGAAACGAAACGATATGAAAACAAGTGTGCAATCGAAGAAATGTCGCCTGTCCTTCCTCTCCCTCTCTCTCCGCCAATCACTCTCTTTTGTGTCCAGTTCCTGCGCTCTCACCTGAATGTGTGTCCGGATAAATGGAATCTCAGATCAAGGGCGGATTAAGGACAGGATCATACAAAATATTTCACCCCCATGATTTTTAAGCTGCAAAATTTGTTAAATGCTGATAATGAATTCAACGAGGTATGACATTCCAACATGGCACTACACTATATTTCATAAGGAGTTCCCCCATGACTTTTTTGCTAGCAATTATTTTAAATGATATTTTTTTCTGAGAATGCCACATTATTATAAATTTTATAAAGAATTTAACGAGGTGTGACATTCCAAGATGCGACTACTATTTCCCAGGGTTTTGATTAAAAAACCGAAAAATCGAGCAGATCTTTTCCGGATTTGGGCCAAAACATTTGACTAAGGGGCTATACATACATATATTTTTTTAAATACTTGTCTAAACCATCTCAGTGTCTTCATATGGTTTCTCAATGAACCGCTCTGAGCTTTCGGAACCGATCATCCAATCGAAATGGCCAGACGAGGAGCGGTGTGGTAGCTGGGGCTGGGGGATGGCCTAGTCACCACCGGAATGCCTCAAATGCCAGTGCCACGCCCAAATGGCAACAGGTGGGGCAGTTTGGAGCCACAGGTGAGCTACAGGTGACAGTCAGGCAGACGGAATGTCTGGTGCGGCGAGGAGTGGAATGTCAAACGTTTATTTGCCGGTAATTAAATTTGAAAATGATTTAAATTTCACCAGCGAATATTTCAAATTGGTCTTAACACTTTCTTCTTTCGCAGCATCAGCTGTCTCTGTTTCGCCACCGGGCCACCCGCAAGCTTCGACCGACCCGATGACCCACCTAGGACCCCCCCTCCTGCTCCGATCCACCGCCCATGGGCGATCCATGGGAGCAATCCGGCTGATTGGAGATTTGTTTTCTATTTGCAATTGATCGATGCTCGCCTGCCAAGCAACAACAGCCACATAAAACTGCAAAAAGTTGAAAAAAAGCTACAAAAACGTTAACGCAAAAATTGAGCTGGACGTTGTTGGATGGTGTCCACGTCCGGTGGGTTCGTTAATGGCATACCGATTTTGGGATCAGGCCGATGGATTATGGTACCGGCCGACCAGGCCAACTTTCAGCTCAAGATTACAGACCCTCTCGTCTGTTGATTATCAAATTGATATACTTATATATTTAGGACTAAAATCGTTTTATTTAAATAACATTTTTAACAATACTGAAATTAATAGTTTTATTATTTTGAGATATTACAGACATATATATGCACGATATATTTTATTGTGGGTGGTTATAAGTTGTTAAAAATTATATTATTTGTGGGGGTTAGAAAAAGAGTTACTTTGCAAAACCATTTTTTGGGCTTATAGTATGAGATAACAAAGTCAAACATATTTATTAAAAATTGTAAGATTTATGTTTCCAAATATGCATTAAGCGGATGAAGAATTTATTTTTGGCACTCTAAGGTTTATTTATATTCCGAAATAGTATACTTTTTGCTGAACCTAATTATTTCCAACTATTTCTAGATCCGAAAGGATTAATTCAAAATACAATTGATTTTTTGTATACTAGGTCGCGGCAATTAAACGAATAAATATGTATCATATAAAAAGACGAAAGGTATCGATGACTGGGCTTGTCAACGAACGGTCTGTGATAATTGGAGGTGGCTTTTACTTTAAACCAAACAGATCAAATAGCTCTCCATGGGAATATTAAGATTAAACCTATTTCCTGCAAGTAAACCAACCCATTAAGATCTCGGCCTTTGCAAGTAAATCAACTTTTACCCAGCCAGCACTCGGAGCATGATTCTGGAGTGGCCGCCACCACCTCCTCCTCGATGTGGAGTGCGTGTAGCTCGGAAAGCGTGTGGGATTACATTTCAAGTGCAGCTGGGGCCGCACTCAACTCAACGCGGCACTTGGGCACTTGGTACATGATACACCGTAGATCATGGCTAGTTTCGCTCGCCGCTCAATTATGCAGAGACATACTCGCGAAGTGGAAAATGGGGGGATCTGGGGGGGGATGGCGGTGCTGTGCGTGCCCTTCCCATGGCCGCCATCCATCATCCATCATCCGTCGTCCGTTGTCCGATGTCCGTCGTCCAACATCGGCCATAACCCATCAAGTGGGTTCCGTTTTGTTTGCGCATGCGCAGCGCATTCAGCATCGATATTTCACGATCGTCGTCTGCGGTTTAGACTGAGTTTTATGGCAATGGAGTTGAAAAAAAGAAAAAAGTGGAAATGGGGGAAGCGCTGGAGCTGACTTCGTGCTGCTATTTGGTGGTCCGCGATTTTGTTTTCATTTGGAAAGTGGGTGTGTTTGTCTAGCTGTCCAAGCCCGGCTCCCTGAGACCCCGACTCCCAAAGAGTGTCTCCTCCTTCCCCCCCCGCACAATGTCATCTCATTGGTCACTTACAGACCTGGTAAAAGAGGGTCTCCTACGCGCCATTGGCCTGGGAAATCGCCTACCCTGGCAGACTAAGGTCAACTAAAGGTAATGTCTGGGGGCCCGAAAAAAAGAAATGTCAGGAATGTCGAGGAAAACGAGGAAAGTGATCTACGATGCTCTTCAAACTGATCTTCCTAATATGAGTTTTGGCGGGGGAAGTTCAAGCAAGTCAAGTGGTTGAGTGATCTATGATAATTTATGTTGACATTTTGGATGATACCCAAATCTTTACGACCTACAACTTTATTTGGCTAATCGTTAACTATTTTTGTTTGAATTTTATGAGCGAAAACCAAATTTACTATGAGACGCCTTAGGCGTGTACTTGGGAAGTGAAAGAATATACTTTCAAATTTAGTTTTGGAGAATTTAAATATTAAACACATATGATTGTAAAACATAATTTGATTTAGTTCAATTCAGTACTTTGTTTCTGGTTATTGATATTATTTATTTTTGGCCAATCAATCCGACCTACCAAAATTTTATAAGGATCGGCCGACTATTTGCTATAGCTGCCATATAACTGAAGAAGTTGGGAAGTTAGCTTTCCTTTCTTGTTATTCATTCAATCTATTGACACACAATAAGTCATGATTTTAGCTGGGGTACTGCCTATAAGGATTTGTATCTGTGGCAACTATCCATAACTGAAACCGTAAACAATTTTCGTATATGTTGTGATGACAATATGCGAATATGTGGAAAAACAACGAAGAAATGTCGATGTTTAATGTTTAAAAACAAAGAAGCTCTGTGGATTTGAATTTTATTTTCCTATTTATTTTCCGTTTCCTTTAAAAGAAAGGGGATTGAAAGAGGACTTTGCTTAGGCTTTACGAGCTACAAATTTATTTGGCTAATCTTTAACTACATTGGCTTTCATTTAAAGAGCCCAAACAATTTTCACTATGACTTTTTCCAACATTTACTTGGGAAATAAAACAATATAATTTGATAGATCGTAGTTAATAAATTATTTAATGTCTATTTGAAGAACATGTTTAGAGTTATTACACCGTTATTAATAATAATATAATTAAAAAGAAAGATAAAATTGTGCCCACCATTTATATCTGGTTAAATTTACTGTTACTTCTAAAAAACAAAGATTTCAAGTGCTACATTTTACGTAATACTCCTGTCTTTTAAACTTTCTCACCTCTACCCTTCTTAAATATTACCAAACCAATCGACATGAAAGTTCTTCATTTCATTTCCCAGAAAATCAAGCAAACCCAAAGCCAAAACTTTCATGGCGAGAATGTAGCTCAAAAGTATCCGAAAAGTGTTTTTTGCGCAACTTTCATAACCGACGCGCATCGACCGTTCGATCCGTCCATCCATGGGGTCCGCACCTGAAATTCCATTCGATTTCCAGGCTGAAGATATGGCCCCAGGCCAAGATACTCGGATACTTGGGATGCTGCGATACGGAGATACGAAGATACTCCGAGATACTCTCAGATACTCGGATACAAATACATGCGTGTGCTGGCTCGGATTGCCGAATTGCGAGGCGGATCGAATTGAATCGAATCGAATAGTATCGCATCGTATGTATAGGCTGGAATCGGAGGGACTGGCGAGGGGGCACAGCACTGGACTGGTTCGGCTGAAGAATCTTTTTCGACAGCGGCTAATTGACTTTCAATGTTGTTTTATTTTTCTTTCGTTTCGTTTAATTTTATTTGAGCGTTGTCGGGGCGAGAAAGTGAAATTGATAGGCAGACAAGTGGCTCTCCCAGCGACTCCGAGCTGTCTGTCAGGCGGAGGGGTGCTGGATGCGGGGCTTAAGCCGAATGGGATTCTAAGGAGGCGCTTTCTAAGTCCCCGAAAGCGTGAGTTGCAACTAGCCGTACACAGAGAATAAATATACCCCACACTGGTTATCAATTCGGATAAAATATGTAAACTATTTGACGGATATAATAAATCCCTTCAAAGATTCCCAATTTAAACTTTCTTGTGTTTTTGTGTCACATGCAATTTTAAAAAACTCTGACTGTTCTCAAATTTACATTTATGAATAATTTATACTGATCACATTATGAATGATGTTTTGGTATAATAAACTAAAATACATATGTACATTTCTTAAATAGGGCTTTATTGGGACTTTTAAGATTTTGAAGACTAATAATTGTTCTCTTACAAAACATTTTCTTTAGGAGTTATTTAAATATCACAGAAGACTTATAAGGTATTACATTTACTTTACGAGAACTCTTGTAAAATAATATTATTAAAATATCATGTAACCATTTTTGTTCAGTGCACCCGTGGCTGTGGCTCTAACCCAATTCTTCTCCCTTGGGTGGCGGCTTCTTTGCTTAATATTTCCACACCCACAGCGGACAAAAAGTGTCTTCTCATGGCCTAATGGCAGCCATTGCTACTGTTTGCTGCATGTTGCTGTTGCAGTTGCAGCAGTTGTTGCTGCCGTGGCACTTGTTTTTGTTGGCGGCGTTTTCACTTTGGTCGAGATCTGCCATTGCCACCTTGTAACCCCTCTGGGCGCTGGCCAAACAGCCGAAAGGTTATACCAACAGGCAGCAAGCAGCAGCAGCATCATGTTGCTGCACATCAGCAACACCAGCAACAAGAATACAAAAACAAGCGCGACAGATGACAAACGCAGGCAGTTTGCCGGCGATGATGAAGTGTCAATGCAATGAAAACTAAACCAATAAATTGTGAGAGCGACCCAAATAGTTGACTAGAAACCGGCGTGGCGAAGAGGATTTTGGCCCGACTACGTAGTATATAGCTCCCGATGCTGCGAGAACCGTAGAATCCCGATGGACACCGACGTACTTCGACCTGGCGGACCGACATGTTTTCACCCAGACCTTTTGCAATACAACACAGCACCACATTTGGTCAGCCAACAAAAAACCCCCTTACCCCCTTTGGGTAAAAATGAAAAAAATAAAAAAAAAGTTGTGAGAAATTGAAGCGCAATTCAAGTCGGCGGTGGATGGTGAAAGTAACAAGATACTTTTAATAAGACATCTCGCGACGCCGCTTAAGATGCGTGAGGCGTGCGACCAGCAGACATATGCTGCCCTTCTCCATCCGTCCATCCATATACAAAACATATACTGCACTATAAACCATAAGCCCCATGACGGAGGCCTGTTCTTCCGGGGATTCGTGGACCGCCAGCTCATGCAAAACCGCCAGTAAATGACCAAGTTAGCAGACGGCGGTAGACTGGCTGGCGCGTGTTACTTAATGTGCGCCGCGGACCGATAGAGGCGATAGACGCGGCCCGCTGGCCACTTTCTGGCGGAACCGGAGCACCACCGCTGAAACACCGCTGCACCACTGCCCCCATCACTGCCCCACCGCTGCCCCACCGCTGCCCCACCGCTGCCCCACCGCTGCCCCACCGCTGCCCCACCGCTGCCCAACCACTGGCCCACCACCGCTGCGACTCCAATCGAAATTACTCCAATTTCGAAACGGGTCTTTTTGGTCATATTTAGCAAACAGGAATCGCGAGGAGACGCGGCGCCCCTAAAAACTCAAAACTGCAAAGTGGAATTGAAATGGCGATGAAATGCCCGGCCCGACGGGATCGCCATGCCGGCACAGTGGATCCATCAAGCAGTCGTTTGGTCAATGGGTCATCAAAATATGACCGTTAAAAGATTATTGCCTCCGAATTTGGACCATCAAATGTTTTATGCGTTATTAACATATAGATTAATATGTTAACATATCCTTGGTCTTTAAAGTGTATGCAAATATTGTTGAGAAACAATTAATAAATTCGGTCAAGGATCATTAAAATGGGTAATAATAATAAATAATTTCACTAGTTTTCTTTTTGATGACTTCAATCAAACATAATTAAATATCATTAATATTATTATTGACCATATCCATTAAAAAGTTAATACATCCTAGGAGAGTAGACCACATGTTGAGCATAAATTATAAATATATACAAAATATATTAATGTTTAATAACTAAATACCAAATTGATCCAAATTTGTATCACAAATTGATCAAGGCTCATAAACACATTATTTTATAAATTAAATCAGTTATCAGGATTTTTAATTAATTGAATGATGGATCATTGAATTTAATAACAGATTCGTTTTCTAAAACCAAGAAAACGTGGAACATTAATATATATTAATTTGTAGGTTAATTAAAATGTACTTAATTTCAAGTTCATAAGTTAGAGTAACGTAAGTATCATATATTTCTGAAATAGATTTGCATTGTCTTCTAAATATTAAAAGGAGCTTGGACATTTTTAAGTAATTACAGAAAGAAACTTCCAAATTAATTTCCATATTGTGGAATTTGTTTTGCCCCACTGTGCCTTGGCAGGTTATCAATTGCCTTCGTTGTCGCTGGTGTTGCAGTTGCTCATCCTATTATTTCAACGAGAGCAATTGCAGCAGTGTTGTTGTTACAGTTTTTGTTGTTGTTGCTCGACAATGCCAAATGCGGCAGTTGGCAAAAATATTTTATGGAAAAGTGGAACAGTTGATGAAACATTACTGGGGACTGTATAAATAAAAACACGATATCTCTTCCCCCTTTTTTGTGCCTGGAGGCTCCCCGATGTTTCAACTCTCTTTAAGGTATACTTTTTTGTTGCACCACCCGAACCACCAGCTCCACCTGCAGCACCCCCCAACACCCAACCTCAACTTTGCCACCCACTGAACCACGAACCACGCAATGTGTGGCAATCAAAGGGCGCCCACGCCCATTTCTCGGCATGATTGCCTGCCACAATTGGAGCATGGGCAAGTGGAAGTGGACAATAATTGTGACCAGTTGCCAGTGGCACAGTCAAAGGCAGGGGGGATTGGTCAGTGGCGGCGGAAAAAGGGGAATAGAAAGTGCAAACAGTTAGAGGACTTGTCCCCATGCAATTGTCGCCGTCGTCGACGTCGTCGTCTGCTTCTGTAACCCATTGCAACTGAAAGTTGAAGCTGCTGCCCAGTATAAACAAACAGAGGACTGGGGAAACCAACTAGCAACCAGCAACCAGCAAGCAGCAACTAGCAACCGACGACGCATGCCACGAGCAGCAGCAGCAGCAGCAGCAACATCAGCCACATTTCCAGCAATAACAACAGCAATATCAGCCATGGCAATATCAACAGCACCAATAGCAGCAACAACTACTGTAACAATATCAGCTATAGGAATAGCAACAACAACAGCAAAATCACCAAATGAAGAGTAACAGCAACAACATCTGAAATGACTGCAAGAGCAACAACATCAGCAATGTCTGCCATATAAAAAGTACCAACAATAGCAATAGCAACAACAATATTAGCTACAAAAACAGCAACAACAAGAGTAATATTTGCAGCCATAGCAGCAACAACACAAAAAGCAAGAAGCAACAACAATATTTGCCATACCAGAAATAACAAAAGCAACAGCAACAACATGACAAATATCAGCAACAACAAAAGGCATGGCCAAAGCAACAACAACAGCAGCAGCAGCAGCCGCAGCAGCAACATCGGGCCCAAAAGAGCAACACTAGCAACAGCAACAAGAGGCAGGAACGGCAACAGCAACGGGCAACATCAACCGGCAAGCTGTACTTGAACAAGTCGTACTTGGCATCGTATTTTGGATTTGGACTTGGCCGACTGCCTTAGTGGAGGCCTCAATGGAAAGAAGAAATTTCGCTGCCGGCGCCGGCTGCGCGGTCGACGACGGCATGTTGCTGCTGCTGCGCATGCGAAGTGTTCCGCTGCGAGAAAGCAGGTGTCTGCAGCATTCGGCGCTAAACCACGGCGCGAAGCAGACGCGTTTCTCTCTCTTTCTCCTCCTTCAGGCGGGCCATCGATCGATCCTCGCTCGGTTCGAATTAATAACAAATACTGGAACAAAAAAAAACAAAAATAAAAAACTCAGCGAATTCGAGCAAAACAAACAGCAAACACTAGTTGCAAATCAAACAAAAGAAAAACCGCAAGCGAAACGGAAAGAACCGCTTGCAAAACGGTTAGCGAAGTGATCAACACGCTTTTTGTGTCCTTTTTTTTTTGATATTTTCTTTTGTGTGTGCTCCACTTGCGATCGTTAATTGTTGACCGCGTGCAACGCCCCACCCCTCTTCCCCCGCTGCTGTCATTACCGTCAGCCCATCAGCAACATCGCAGCAGCAACATCAGCAACATTGGCGTCCAAAAGTAACGGCCACCGTTCAAGTGCAACAGTTTTCGAAAGTTGCCGCTAACGCATCCTGTTTGTCAGCCTTCGGAATTTGGAATTGGAATCGGAACTTTAACTGGAACAGCCAGGAGAAACGGCGGAATCGGGCCAAGGACCTTATAGGTGAGTGCCGGCAGAACGCAAACGGATCAACAACCCGGAAGTTAGTCTGCGGTACGGTGGAAAGCGGAATAAAGATAGCCGATCACAAGGTTGCAACACTTAAAGATATTTCTTTAGTTGGACTGCAAAGAATTCAAAAGTTTCTAAATAATTGCAAAAATAATGAGAAATAAGGGAAATCTTTTGGTTTTCACTTTTAATGCTTTACCTATGTCAAATATTTAATCTAGTGGGATTTATCTTATCTTAATATCAAATATTTGCTTCTTAAAATATATACATAGCAGTTATCTTCGAACAATCAGGTGACCATTTTAAACAAGTTTGCATAAAAATATTGATACATTTTAAGGGGCATGTATTTCAGTTTGTAGCATTTAGCCAGTAAATATTTATTTAATTAACATAAATTATGTTTTTCTGTTATAAAATATAGATTTTTCCCATTAAACTCGAAAATATAGTCTTTAGTCATAACCAAAACAAGAATATTCAATTTCGTAAAAGTGAAAACCGGAACAAGACATAGCTGCCTTATTATTTTGTCTCATTGTCTATAAAATATCAATTAAATATATTAACCCATGGCATGGCAAAATATTTATTGCTGCCTTAAAAACATAAATAAGCACTAAGTTAGTACATATGTTAGTTAGTATTTTGGAAGAATAAATAGAAGGCCTTAAATAACTTTTTTGAACTAAAAATTAAGGAGTTCAATAATAAAGGGAAAAATTTGTTTGACCAACGCTGTGCTTATAGCTATTTTATTTAGGGACTTGCATTTCTCGTTCTATCTATTCAAAATAATATTAACTACAATATCTATCTGGTTTTTCATAATTAGTATTCTTTATTTCAAAACAGAACAGGAAAATCAATAATTCAAAAAATTACTTGGCAAGATGAATTAAATAAGATACAAAGCTCACTTACTTGGTCAAGGTCACTCAATAAGGAATGAAAAAATCACTTAATTCTTCCAAAGTTCTGTTTCTTATTTTTGACATTCACTCTTTCTTCACTCTCTCTTTCCTTGGAATCTCCTCACACCTTTGTTACTACCTTTAGCCTTCTAATTGGCCAACTAAGAGCATTCATATTTGTCTGGGCCAAGATGACCCACTTCACTTATGTGCGGGGAAACCTATTAACACTTTTCACCTCCCCAGTTACCCTTTTCTTCAGCGTCTTAAAAGTTAAGTGAGTTGTCATTAAATAGATTCTTTTCTCTCTTGACTTGTCGCAGCTTCCCTTTCTTTCGGTCTGTGTTTCTTTCTTTCTTCTCAGACTTTTCATTTATGGCCAGTGGGTGTGGAAGGTTAGAAAGAGGGTGGAAGAGGGAGGAAGAGGGGGACACTTAGCGAGTCAATCAATCATCATTGAGCTGACTGAGAAATTGCTAATAAATTGCAATTAGCGGCAAACACTTTCATATGGCAGGTAACCATAACAATGAGAAGAAATAAAAGCGAAAAGCACTTTCTTCGTTCTCTCTTCCGCTTTCCGCTTCTTTGACCGCCCACAACAACGGCAAATATCGAATAATGATAAACAAATTAATTATATGCTTAACAAACAGAAACATCACCATCATCAGCAGCAACCACAGTAACGGCAGCAACATGCAACATCAACATCAACTGCAACAACACAAACAAGTGCGCTGCAGAAATCTACGAAGAAATGTAGAAATCGGTGCTAAGAAGATTTGGCTGCCGCTTATCATTTTCCTTTCACTGCAGGTGAGTTGAGCCGATGCAAATAATTGAAATCAATTTAAGCCAAAAGCCGCAGACACAACAGCAACATGGGCAACAGCAGCAACATCGTCTTATAAATAGATAATTCCCATTAGCAGCAGCCGGCTTAAGCTTCTCTTTCTCCCAGTGGCGTGTGCAGATTTTCATTTAGAGGGATTTTAGCCAGTTCGCTATAGGTATACATTTTAAAATAATAATAATAATTGCTCTGTGCGAATCTATTTGTAAATGCAAATTCGTTCATCTATTTACTAAATTTTGTCCCCAAAGAAATTCTTTTATTTCTTACCAGTTAACAACAAAGATGTTCAACGTAAAAACGTTTAGACATTTGAAGTCATTGTAGCTATCAACACTTAATTAACATAATCAACAATTAAAGGAGTATTTGGATTTTAATTTTAGGATATATTTATTTTTTAAAGGACGCCCTTTTATAAATCATAGTCCCTGCCGGCGCCACTGCTCCATCTCTCCCCCAACCCCCTTTCTTTCTGGCTGCCTGTCGTCTGCCTTGTGCGTGTACATATATAAGTGCATAAGTGTGCAAGTGAAAGAGCCCCTCTGCCGGAATGAAATGGAATGAAGAGGAATGGAATGGGACGGGATGGGACGTGTAATTGGCATGGCCTCGTTTCTCGTGTGTGTGTGTGTGTGCGAGTGTTACATGTACTGGATTTAGTTCCTGGAACCAATCAGGAATATATATGTATATCTACATATATATTTATATACATATATATGAGACATCGAAGAGACTAGCGAGGAAAGTAACGGCAAATCGAGTAATTAGTGCGCGTAATGGAAAGGATACACAGATGTCATCTAAGGAATTTAGAAACTTGACGTTGTTAAGACAACGTTTTAATTTAGATTAGCTCGTCATGTTGCAGTTTAGAAATGTGGTGGTGCATTTTGGTTAAAATGTTTAGAAAGCTAGATTATATATTTGTTCTTTATAACCTCTCTCAATAATGAATTTTAAAAATACATTTTTAGGAATTGACATAAATCGACATATTTAATGTATTAATTTGAAAACTTAATATTGTTTGCTATACAAGTCAACAGATAATCACAACTATAAAGACAGTTAATTTCCTGATATTGAAAAAGAATTTTCTTGGAAAAACACAAATAAAATAATAACTAAGTTCCCTGTGAATAACTCTGAAATCAAGAAGCCATTCTGCTTGAAGTGCTTGCCCATCTTCGTGGCCATCCCCAGCATTCCTTTCTCTTTTTCGCCTTTTGGCACATATTAAAATTCCATGTGCATCCATTTTGCCTAGGTAATACCCATCCCCGTTCCGAATCTCTTTTGAGCCCAGCGCTCGTGACGTTAGAAAGTTTTTTTTTCGCCAGCTTTTTGGCCATTCTGGGGCGATGACACAATTTAGCCAGGCCAAAACAAAAAAAAAAACAGTTCCCATTCCTTTAACGAGTGGCAGCATGTGGTGGCAGCATCTCCACTTTTCGCTTCCTTTTCGCTTTCATCTTGGGGTCGAGAAATGCTGCCAAACGGCCTGGCGTTCACCTTTGACCCTCCGCCATCCCACCGCATCCCATCCTCCTTCGGGCCAAGTGGCTGCCAAATTCCGATTCTCTGCTAATGTTTCACTTTCTCCCGATTTGGTGCGCTGCCAGGCAGACAGCCTCTTCCCAAAAAAGTGCCTAGCACATTGGTCGAGGTCAAGATTGGCAACAACAGCCGGCCTCGTCGTCTTCGTCTTCGCCTTGAGTTCCGACTCCAGTCTTTGGTCTTTGCTCTTGGGTACTCGGTCTTCCGTCTTTGGTCTCTAGCCTTTAGTCACATCGTTAGTCGTCTCCGCTGGGGATTGCGGAAACAGTGGAGGGCAGGGAAATTGGGGGATTGGGCCACATATGCACGACTCCCCGCCGAATGATTGCCAAACAGTAACACACATTTCAATTAACGCAGTTCTCTGGTGATGATTCATTTCTTCTGCCACAGTCGGATATGAGTATGGGAACCGGAACAAGCCTAATTTTAGATGTCTTTGAGGGGTACGGAGCAAAATTTGCATGTGGCGGGGAAACAATAAAAAGCCATTTTAAAAACTGCGTATTAAAGTGGCTAACCGAATTTACAAATATTTCCAAAGGCTTTAAAATTGACGAGAAACAACAAGATAGAAAACACAAAATCATTTGGTTCACTGAATTTATTAAAAACAATTTTGTGTTGTAATATTTAAATAATTTTTTTTTAATTGATTTAAAACCGAATACAAGTATTAAAGTAGCATCTGAAATAATTAAAGTATTAGAGTAGAATCTAAAGGTTATTAAAATATGTATTACTTAATAATTGTTAGCTGATATTCTTTTGTGAAAAAGTCGGTTATATTTTCTCCCTCTGTGTGAATTGCTGTTATTTGGCTAAAGTTATTTTTTTGGTATTCATGGCTGGCTTTTGCAGTCGCTCCAAATCACGTTCCCGCATGCAAATTTGATTATAGAATTTTTCACCAGTGGGTTTTGCGGATTCGTGGGCAACTCGTTTGATGGCCAACCATCCACCATCCAGCATTTACCATTTTGCGATTTTACCTTTTTGTCGTCAATCGTCTGCCGCGCTTGCCACATCACTTTCTACCAAACAGGATTGCTTCAGGATGCCGCCGTCGCCGCCGTTGCGACATCCCATCCCAAGACTTCAAGACTACAAAACTGCGATACCGAGATACCGCGATACTGAGACACTCAGATGCTCAGTTTTCTCGGTTTCTCAGTTTGCTCAGTTTTCTCAGTTTTCTCAGCTTCCCAGTTGGCGGAGAAAGTTGTTTTCGGCGGTGCGGCACAGATTTGGCCAAATGGGATGCAGCCTCGCCATCTTCGCTGGGCATCTTCATCATGGGTATCTTGGCCATGATCGCCATGGCCATCATCGTCCACCTGTCCGCAATTGCTCCAGTGCCAGTGCCAAAGCCAGTGCCACTCTCCCCTACGCCGTCTGTCCATTCGGGCACTCGTCTAATTGCCCCGATAGCTCGGCAACTTGGTAACTGAATCAGTCCAGCGACAAGTACATGGCTGCGGATCAAGATGTTCCTGAATGGCCGGGCAAAATTAAGACCTGGTCACCCGGAACATGGCGAACACACCAAGTGAAGGACGCAAAAAGAAAGTAATGCAAAATTAATTAAGTTTATTAGCCCGATCTCACAGTTGGGTAAATGACACCCGGGATTTACGGGATGGGACATGTGAATCTTGATTAGAAAGTATGGGCGTTGTACATATATATTAAAAATACTTTAACCAATATATATGTATATCAACATCATTCAAAATTTATATATAATTGGTTTTTGCAAGCAAAAAACAAATAATAAAGTAAAAGTTTTGGCAACAACAAACAAATCATTCATATTTAAAAGAATCAGTGAGATGGAATTAAAAAGGGAAGTGTACTCACTCATTTCCATCTTGCATTTTTTGAAAAAAAGCCACTTCCTAAAATGGCTTTTCCTTTTAATCATTTCGAATTTGATTACTCTTTTCTGTTTCCTAGCTTCTTTATGAAAGAGTCATTACCATGCCTTCAAATTCTCTTTACAACCTCATTAGGAAAGGTCACTTTTTTTTTTTATTACCTATTTTTTTATTGGCCCTATTTGGAATATATTTTTGGTTTATTTTTCATTGCTTAGACATAATTATATCTTAACGTTTTAAAAATTGATTCAGAAATTCTCCGTCTTTAGTAGTTTGCTGACAAATTTAGGACATCTTAGTTAGGTATTAAAACGATTGGAAAAACATATGAATCGATGTTTCTTCCCACCCATCTGGAATCTAATTTATCTAGATTGTATCTAATCTGTTACCCGGCTATTATCGGGTACACATCATCCCAACCCGGCAATTCCGTCTCGATGTCGATCGCGATCTCAATCTGGGTCTTGGTCTTGCTCTTGCCCGATGTCTGGTGTCTTGGGTCTTCGGTCTTCGGTCTTTGGTCTTTTGTTTGTGTTGTCGTCTGGTCTGGTTCTAGCCTTGACTTCGCCTTTTAAGCCAGGCGGATCTCCCTGGCAATTGGGTCGCCTTGCGCGTTGCATGTGCCACAAACTGAAATGAAAAGAGTTGCTGGTCGCGGTGGTTGGAAAAAAAAGCGAAATTGTTGCAGTGGCTGCGCGGTTTTTTCTCCGGTTCCTCTTTCTTTTCGCTGCCAGTGGCTTTTTGCTGCCTTATGCAATTGAGTTGCATGCCGCATGCCGGATCCGCCTTGCAACCATTGCCACTTGTTATTTGCCACTGCGCCCATTCCACTTGGCATTCCCCGCAATTGAAGTCATTCCGTTCATCTTCTCGTTTCATTTCGATTCCCCGCCCGGAATGGGGTCACAGGTCGCCCTCGTCTGCGCCGACGATGTGGAGGTGGTGAAGGCCATTGCCGGCGGACCGGACGACGATCTGACCATCGCCCTCGGCGACCACGAGAACGAGCTGGACCAGATGGCCCAGGAGTCGGAGCAGGAGCAGCAGGCCCAGGCGCAGCAGCAGCAACAGCAGCAGCAGCAGCAACAGCAACAGCAGCAGCAGCTGCCGCAGATCCAGATGCAGTTGCCGCAATCGGTGCCCAAGGTGCAGGTGCACTACCAACACAACATGCCCCAGCCGCCGCCCAGTGTGGCCGTCGGTCTCACCATGCGCAGTAAGTACCGGGACTCCTCCCAAAATATTACAAATTAAAAATAGAATATACAAATCAGACTTATTTAGAACAGCAACTAGCAGTTAAATTTGATACCTCATTAATTAATGCTCATAACCATGCAAAATGTTAATATTTTCAATAGATATGTCCGTATTTGGTACATATCTCACAAAATATATTTTAATGGTCTTTAGGCTATCCCGTAAAATTTAAGGGGTCCTTAAGGTGTATTTAAATCGGATAATTTTGAATTAGTCACATTATTTTTAATTTATTAATTTATTAAAATAAGAAGTTTCCATTTAAAGAAAAAGAATTAAGTTTTAAACTTTAAAATGACTAAAAACTCTTACCTTTGACAATATTTTTTCATAAAATATACCAGTAGGTAAATAATATAATTTTGAAAATCACTTTTGTAAAAAGAAAGTGAATATGTTTTAAAATATCAATTGGGCGATTACATAATTTTAGATGGTAAAACGATTAAAATATAATATTTTACATGATGGTAAATATTTTGCTTGCCACCGCTTTTTCCCTAATCCATCATGGTGTGCTTCTCCACCCGCAGACAACCACCAGAACATCCCGCTGAGCTTTGGCCAGCCCTTCGGACCTCCCCCACCCCCAGGCGCCCAGTTCTACAAGGGACCGCCGCCGCCGCAACTGCAGCAGCGACCGCAGCCACCGCCCCAGATGCAGTTGCAGGTGCAACCGCAGCAGCAGCAGCAGCAGCAGCAGTTGCAGCAGGGCCAGCAGCAGCAGGTGCAGGTGCCCGACTTGAGTGTGGGTGCATCTAGCAACAACGAGATCTGGGCGGCTCCCGTCCAGGACATGCCCAAGATCGTGTCCCTGGACGTGAAGTGCGAGAAGAACGGGATGAAGGTGTTCGTGCAGTTCGACAAGCCCTTCAACGGGATCGTCTTCTCCAAGGGCCACTACAGCAACATGAACTGTGTGCATCTGCCGTCGGGATTGGGCCGCAGCTCGGCCAGCTTCGACATCGGACTCCACGAGTGCGGCACAGCGGGCAACACGGACAACTACAACCAGGGCTATGGCCACGAGGCGGGCAGCACGGGGGCGGGCACCTACTTCGAGAACATCATCGTCATCCAGTACGATCCGCAGGTGCAGGAGGTGTGGGATCAGGCCCGCAAGCTGCGCTGCACGTGGCACGATCAGTACGAGAAGAGCGTCACCTTCCGTCCGTTCCCGGTGGACATGCTGGATGTGGTGCGGGCCGATTTCGCCGGCGACAATGTCGGCTGCTGGATGCAGATCCAGGTGGGCAAGGGTCCGTGGGCCTCCGAGGTGTCCGGCCTGGTCAAGATCGGCCAGACGATGACCATGGTGCTGGCCATCAAGGACGACGACTCCAAGTTCGATATGCTGGTGAGGAACTGTGTGGCGCACGACGGCAAACGGGCGCCCATCCAACTGGTGGACCAGCGGGGCTGCGTCACCCGGCCCAAGCTGATGTCGCGCTTCACCAAGATCAAGAACTTCGGGGCCTCCGCCTCGGTGCTGTCGTACGCCCACTTCCAGGCCTTCAAGTTCCCCGACTCGATGGAGGTGCACTTCCAGTGCACCATCCAGATCTGCCGCTACCACTGTCCGGAGCAGTGCTCGGCGGAGACGAATCTGCAGGACGTGCACCACCTGCAGGTGGGTCCCGAATCGCAGTACGGCCCGCCGCCGCAGCTGCATGTGGATGCCTACCATGTGGCCAGTGCCATTGGCAAGCGGCGGGATGAGAGGCGCGTCCAGAGGCGGGCCCGTGCGGTGGCCGAGCCGCAGGTGGGCCTGAACCGGATCATCAAGGTGGTCTCCTCCGGGGACCTGACCTTCGCCATCGACGAGCAGGCGGGCAATGGGAGCAGCTCGTTGAACGGATCCGGCGCCGGCGTGGACCGCAGTCCACAAACCATGGTCTTTCCGCTGCGCGAGGAGGGTCTGATCTGCATGACCACGCCGGGCTTCGCCATCACGCTGATCGTGCTCCTGGGCATCCTGATCACATCCTGCCTCACCTCCGCCGTGCTCTACGTCCGCCTGCGTCCGTTCTCGTCGTTCGCCGCCAGCGCCAAGGAGCGGGCCGTCGCCTTCACGAATCCCCAGCTGGCACCGCTCCCAGTCATCCAGCTGCCGTCGCCGGCGGATTTGCAGGGAACGCTCTCCAAGAAGCGGGCAATGTCGTGAGCACGCCCGGACTGTGCGACTGCCACTGGTTCCGAGGGCGGAGGCCAAATACCGGTGGCTAGGCACTGGCACTAGTGCTAGTTGGGATCAGGTCTTGGGGGTTTCCGTTTGGGGCACACAGCTAGTAGAAAAAGGTAAACTTTCACAGCTAAAGAGTCTTTATTGCAACCATTATTCAAATCGGGTTTCAAATCAATTGGTACTAAAATCAAATCAACTTTCGAATCAAATTAAAATTGATTTAATTACATAATAACAATTGATATAAAATATGTCTAAAATCTTCATATCTGCTTCATAGCAAATATTAATCGGGCTTTAAATCAATTAAAAATTTAAAAGTCCAATTAACTTTCGGATCAATTTCAAATCAAATAAATAAATAAACAGCAATTGATATGAGAAATATTTAAAATGAAATTTCAAAATTGTTTAAAAATTTTGTAACACTTTTTGAGAGTTATTTCTGAAATCCCGACTGTTAATAATAAGAATATCCAAATCAAATATCAATTTTGGCGTTTTCTTTGCTTTGTATAAGTCCCTAAAAATTACTATCAACGATTTGAAATCTTAATATAATTTGCTAGAAATGTATTATTTATAAAGATCTTTGGAGACTAGTTTCTGCTGAAAAACTATTTGATTGAGGACAATTGTTTACTTCTTTGTGTTTATGAGTATTTAGTTACTTATCGAGACTGCTATTTAAAGATTTATAATCACCAGCTCCAGACACTGATTCCCAAAAGTAACTACCATTAGTGCCATTAATAGCTGCCCCATTTCGTCTGTGCTTCCGTTTCCCGTTTCTAGGTACAGTTGTGTCTGCGTCTGCGGCTCTTAAATTTGTAGCGTACACTTCGTTAGTATAATTTTTGATACAAATCATTTAACATTAACTCAATCCGTTAACTGGGTTCTCCTCTACCTTTTCCATTTCCGTTTCCGTTTCCCCAAGTTCTATATCTCAACCCTTTTAAGGTTCTATCTTCTCTATTTTCCACTCCTTTCTCTCCGTGGTGGCAGTCGATAATCGATTATTTTTGTTTTAGTTTAAGCCTAGGTTCTATTTCATGTTAAACGGTGCTAAGCCATGATCAGCCCATCATATCCATCTGACCATCACTTGTAGCTTTCTTCAGCATTTGAGCCGATATATTCTATTACTTAGAGTATTTCTTGTAAGACTCTCTTAAGACTTTGTAGACACGCATACACACAAGTACACGCCCACTCAGATTATACACAAACTCACACACATAACACATGCATAACAGATATACACTTGAATTAGTCACTAAATATTTTAAGCGCTTTAAGCCGTAGACTAAGCCGAATACTTCTGCGTCCCACTGTCAGCCATTCCCCCAAATCCCTGGATCTACTTATATCAGTTAATACGCCTTGTAGTCCACTTATTTATTTGCATAATGATTATACATATCGCATACATACCCACATATATACCGCCTTATATATACATATCTTCCATTTTTTTTGTCTACTTTTATAAGCCGAGCAAAGCGAGTGAGAAGAGAAAGTGTTCAATAAATTGTTTAGAATCCCTCAAAATGTCTTTTTGTTTTTTGTTACCCGGGAATGGGTCTTCAAATATGTGAGTATCCTGAAATGGTTTGCTGGAATTTGTCTCATTAATTGATTAACGAGTCTAGAATTATACTGTAAGAAAGTGATAATTCTCCTGAATCCACTACTTAATTATGAGCTTGGAGTATATTAAAATATATTTAAACACAATTACATTGTTTTAAATACCTTCTTAGGTGATTCTAATTACTGGAGATTATTTGGGAATTAGGCTTATCTTTTTAGAATAATTTTTGATTTTGAAACATTTTGAGTATAGTCTACATTTGGGGTCAGCTTACAACATTTGTATAGCATACTTTGGAACTTGGGTCCTTGGAAGAAAATATAAAGAAAGAATTGTTCCGTGAGAGCTGTATTTAATTATATAAAACCAAAATGCAAATTTGCAAATAATAATGCTTATAATTCGGGCTTTAACAAATAAAGCTAAAAACAATAAATTATAAAAATTAATAAAACAAGGAAGCTTAATTATTTTCAACTTAACTAAATTTTATTCAATTGTCAATTTTTCAATTACAAAATTTGAACTTAAATTGTAATATGCATGCAAGAATTTGCATTTTCTTTTGTTTAATTTTTTAATGGAAAATGGTAGTCGGTTTGTATGTGTGCATGAGTAAGTCCGTGTTTGTATGTGTGAGTGTGTGGGTGTGATTATGAGAATTTTCTAAACGAAGCTATAGAATTTAACTAAATTTCCCCTAAACATGTTTTGGATGCCGAAAAGAACACAGAAAAAAAAAACCAAAAAAGTCCAAAAAACATTACATTTAAAATTTCCATACCGCTCGGCTTACAGCTAAATCTCGTATGTATAATTTATAGATATATATATAAATAAATAAGTTCCCTTACGCCTAACGGATGCGATATAACATCCAACTCCTTAAACCTGGAGCACCTGTCCGGAGTCTTCATTGTATTTGTGTATCTCTCTCTTTGTTTACTTTTACTTTCACTATTATTTTTTTCTATGCAATTTTACGACTAAATGCACCCAAAAAACAAAATACAAAAAAAAAATTGTAGAACGTTCAGCACCGAAACGAGCAGTTCGAGTATTGCATTGTTGCCCGATCTCTGATATCTGATATCTGCACCATATCTCTTTGTCTGGATCCTGAACAAACAACCCAATAAAAAAAAACAATAATCGTAATAAATAAATAATAATGGAAGGCATAGACGTGGGCAACGTGATTTGATTTTGATTTCCATTTCGATTTAGATTTCGATGTCCATTTCGATGTCGATTTCGATTCAGAATTCCGATCTTGATCTCAATCCTGGCCGAGCTGATCACTGAACCGTTTCGTGGCCTGAGCTCGGCTGCCTGACTTGTTGCTGCTGCTGCTGTTGTTGTTGTTGTCGCAGGCGGAAGAGCCTCAGGGTCATCCAGGAGGCCAGTGTTCCGGTCACCGGCATCGGCGTCTGCTTGTCCAGCGCCTCCTTCTGCAGCTGATAGCGGTAGAGCAGGGATCCGGCCACCAGAGCGGACACGATCGTCGCTGAGATTACAACGATAAAAAGGATGCTGAACCCGGGCACCGGCATGCAAATGCCGTAGACCACCTCCTCGCTGATCTTGCCCTGGAACACAGTGACCGCCTCCTGTTTGGAATCCGGCGAGAATGCCAGATCCGCCTCCGATATGACATCGTACAGACCGCTGACGCCCACGTCGGCACTGCGCACCTTGCGATCGGAAATGACCAAGGATCGACGGCGACGGCTCTTCGAGTTGTTAGTACCTCCCTCTCCTTCACCTTCTCCCGCCTGCTTCTGCTCTTCCTTTTTGCCCTGCTCCTGATCCTTTTCCTCTTCCTTATCCAAATCGATGTGATCTTCGCGTGGTTTCTTCAAAGCCTCCGCCTGTGGCCTATACACGGGTCGTGGCACATCCTCATCCTGGCCATGAGGTTCCAGGGAGCGGGGACCCGCCATCGGCACGCCCATGCGTTTTTGGGCCTCCAGCTGTCTGGGACCGTGAGGAAACTTGCCACTCTTCTTCAGGCCCAAGTACCGCTCGCCCTCGCCGCCCTCCATGTCCAAATCGGCCAGGTCCTCATCCCCGAACAGATCCGACAGATCGGCCTCCTCCTGCTCCTCGTGCACCGGCCGTGGTTGCAGATGCACGCTTTTCTCGTGCCCATAGTCACCGCCAACGGGCGATCCTCCGCCGCCGCCGAGGGTCTGCTTGTGATCGTGGATGATGTCCTCGTAGAAGATATCGTGATCCGGTCCCATGCCCATGCCCATGCCCATGCCATGTTGACTGCCGCCAGGTGGCAGGGCCAGATCTCTGAGCAGATCGTTGCTACTGCTGCCCATCGCATCGGACATGTGCACATCCTTGCGCTCGTTAGCATTGGTCAGACCCAGTCCGAGGCCCAGTCCCAGTGACTCTCCGGATCCACCCCTCCGCCCACGCCCGTGTTCTGGCAGTGATCAAGGCAGCCGTGGCGACAGATCTCCACCTTGCACTTGATGTGCACACTCAGGGCGTCCGGGAACTTGAAGGCGTGGAAGAAGGCGTAGGTGATCACGGTGGCCCTCTCATCGGGAGCACGGGCCTTCAGGAAGCGTGAGATCATCTTGGGTCGCAGTACGCAGCCAAACTCATCCGACAGGTTGATCACATGACCAGATCCATCCGATGCCACACAGGACTTCACACGCATGTCGAACTCGCCTGGAAGATGAATTGAGGAATGATCAAATAGATAAACTTGGATCGATCTAATGCCTATATTGTAGCCATTGGAAATGGCAAATTTCATAGTATGTCTAGTAAGCACAGATCTGAGGAGATGCCCCGAGGCATCCAAGCTCACCTCGATAATCGTTGATGGCCACCACAAGGGTCAAGGTGGATCCGAGCGGTACAATACCACTTACTGGTGGCGCCCACGGCCCCTTGCCATGCTGAATCTCCATCCAACAGTCCACATTGTCACCTGCGACATAATAATCGATTAATATCCTTATTAATCACTACTCATTTAGTGAGCAATTACCTCGGAAATCAAGCTGGATGACATCGAGATCGGCAATAACCATGGGCGGCTTGGAGGCGGTCTTCTCGTAGTCATTAAACCACTCGCAACGCAGTCGTTTCGCCTCGTCCCAAACTTCCAGCAGATCCTTGTCGTACTGCACCACCACCTGTTGAGGACATGGGATTAAAGAAGACATTCCTCCCACAGAGTGTGATGGCCACTGACCGTATTCTCGTAGAACTGTCCGTTGAGGTCCGGCTTGGTGCCGCATCGGGAATACGAGATGCGGAAGGAGAAGAACGTCTTGCCCGTGGAGGGCGGCACGTAAACGCAACGCGGATCGCTGTGTTGTCCTAAAGGAAGAATAAAAACAAATGAATTACAATTGAATAGAGGTGGGACTAAAGATAACCCACCTTTCGAGCTCACAATGCCCTCGAATGGGTGCGAAAAGGTCAGGTGCACATCCATGTGGTCCTTGCCGCACATCACCTCCAGCGAAACGATATTGGGCATCCCGTCTGGCCGCTCCATGGGCCACAGTTCATTACCAGCTATGACTAAACTAAACTGCAATTGTAAAAGGTTAAGAATTAAGAAGTTGTATAACGCAAGTTTAATTTTATTTTATGATGAATCATAAAAATCTAATATAAAACATAGTATACGTAATGTTTGTAAATTAAAAAATTTTTATTTTTCTTATTAGTCAAAAGTGTTGGTAGATTTAACTTGTGGATATTATGAATATGTGATATTATTATGATATAAGGGGTTCCCAAAATCATAGTAATATCGATTTCGGCCACAGCTCGATCTTAATCTCTGCCATCCCAGACCCATTCCAAAATTCAATGGCCAGTCTTGTGGGTGGGCTCCTAACGGTTCCACTGCCACCTGGCACCTGACAAACGTGTTACCAATAAAAACGAAACGGCAATCCAGTCTCTCCAGTCTTCGGGTCCCAAGTCTTCAATCTTCGGGGTCTCCAGTCTTCGGGATCCCCGGTCTTCGGTCCCCCGATCCAATGGCCAATGAAGGCCAATCGAAATGGGAAAGCGAATTCCACTTGGCCTGCATCCGTTTGCTTGGTGGGAACTGGTCTCTGCTCCGAAGGGAGGCATTCGGATTGGAAGGAGTTGGGAGGTGGAAGGTGGGAGGTGGGAGGAACTTGCACCTGACATTTGCATACCGATACCTGCCCCAAACTGCCTTGCCACATGCCGCATAGATCAGCTTCGGTTCGGTTTGGCTCGGTCCATAATCGAAACGAGGGGAGTCTGATCGAATTGCTGGCCCCTTCCCCCTCAAAGGAATTAGCATTTTCCCCATACCGACCCGCCCCCCGCAGTAAAAGTTGCCGAACTGGACGAGCCACCTGCCCGAGTGGATATGGCATACTATAGCATATATATGGTATCCAGTATCCGATCGGGCCTGCTGGTGCCACATTGTCTGGCGTCGTCGCAACAGACGAGAATGGAAATTAAGGAGCGAATGGATCGAAGCCAGAGCTTCCAGTTAGTTCACTGAATAAATTAGTTTATGCAGATAAGTTGTAATTGTTTTACATCTTGATCAAGCAAGGGAATACTTAGCATTATTGCATTTTCATGTAATACATTTTGCTTGTTATTTTTCAATCTATTAGTATTTAGTTATTATAAGTTATCTAAACATTTTACATCATCCTTTTCTTGGAATAATTAGTTAATACATGTTTAATTGATACGTAACTAATAGCAAAAAAAGATTATTATACGTAAGAGCGACTATTGACAATTCATTAGAAGAAAATTTCGTAATTTTGTATATGTTTATCAATTACATTTTATTATAAAAAAAATAATAATGTTTCCTATAAATATACATTTAATTGAAAAGGACAGACCACACTACGTATACGTTATCACCCAATTTAAATCAGATCATACTTCTTTTATACTATCTGTAGTTTAATTTTAAAACCTTATATTTGTAGAGATTTCTACACAATATTTAGTTCTAAAAACTGGTTATAAACTGATCTAGTTACTTATAATGATTTATATTTACTCAGCAAAACAAACATGTCATATTAAGCGTTTCATAGCCATTAAAACAACTAAATGCATTTCTTTTTATTTTCAATAACAGAAGATTTACGTCTCTGCAACACAATCTCTGACTTTCTGATTGTTCAGAAGCCGCCAAACAAATGTGCTGACCCACAATGAAACCCACTTATGCCCATTCCCATACCAATTCCCATTGCCGTGAAGATGGCTATCGCAGCCGCGACTACATATATATATAGTATTATTCCAGAGTGAATTGATCAAATGGGAAAGCTTTGTGCAGAGTCACGGTTACGCTACTATACTCTCCAAAATGCCGGCTGCCGAGAACTATTCTCATCGGCCGAGTCGGATGGTGAAATAGTGTGCCGACTCGACTCAACTCGACTCGACTCGAAATCCGAATCCAAATCGTTCGGGACTGGTCGGAATTGATAGGAGGGGGGCTTATAAAAGCAAGTGGGTCGGCAATAAAAGAGCAGTTGTAGAGCAGGTCGCGATCGCACACCAACCAAAATATTAGCCATATTTAAACCCGGAAAATAGAAAAAACCGAAACACCAAACAAAACAATGGATCGTTGGTTGAATCGCGTTGCTGTCGTCACGGGAGCTAGCTCGGGAATCGGAGCTGCCTGCTGCAAGAATTTGGTGGCCAAGGGCCTGGTCGTGGTGGGTCTGGCCCGTCGCGAGGAGCGCCTCAGTGAGCTGAAGGCATCGTTGCCGGCGGATCAGGCCAGTCGCTTCCACGGACGCAAGTGCGACGTGAGTGTGGAGCAGGAGGTGATCGATACGTTCGCCTGGATCGATTCCACTTTGGGCGGGGCCGATGTCCTGGTCAATAATGCCGGCATTGTCCGTCCCGGAGTGGGCATCACTAAGGAGGGCAATGCGGCCGATCTGCGCGCCATCCTGGACACCAATGTCCTCGGCGTTTCGTGGTGCACTCGCGAGGCCTTCAAGTCGCTGCAAAAGCGCAATGTCAACGATGGACACGTGGTGATCGTGAACAGTGTGGCTGGACACCGGGTGCCCAACATTCCCGGCTTCACCATGGGCATGTACTCACCCTCGAAGCATGCAATCACCGCTCTCACGGAGGTCCTGCGCCAGGAGTTCCACAACAGCAAGACCCAGACCAAGATCACGGTTAGTTGACAGTCTCTATCTTTTTAGATTACCCCTTTATAACCCTCTATTCATTCCCATGCAGAGTATTAGTCCCGGCGCCGTGGACACCGAGATCATCGACAAGGAAGCCCTCGTCCATTTCCCCGACCTTCCCATGCTGCGATCCGAGGATGTGGCCGATGCCGTCAGCTACTGCATCCAAACCCCGCCAAATGTCCAGATCCACGAGCTGATCATCAAGCCCGTGGGCGAGACCATCTAAACACTCAGTTTCTGACTGTACTCGTAGTTTTAGCTCCACCTCTTGTAATCAACCAACTATAATAATATAGCATTTGTTGATTGTCTATCAAAAAAAGAGTCTTTCAAGTGGGGAGACTAATGATCTTGTTCACACAAAAGTTAAGATCTAATAAGTTCTTGAAATATTGCTTAACAACTAAGGTGTTTTTTTTTTAAATTATGAAATTCAAATTATTTATGTTCTATGCTTTGATCTGTGTTATAATTTTTTTTTAAATTATCTATCACCTAACCCTCATTTCCGTTTGCGTAATCGTATTCAATAAAAGTACAATAAAACAACCAATAGAATTTCACAACAAATCACATTATTGTGAACATTATTTCAATATCACCAATCACTTCGGCAAGGTCAGAAGGTTTGTTCTTGAATCGAAACATTTGTTTACTATAAATGTCGATTTCCAGTGGATAAGCGATTGTTCCACTTGATTTTGTTTATGATTCACACTTGGAAAATTGTATGGTTTGTTCGGCGTACTTACCATTAAGTGTAAGATAAATATACAGCTACTAAACCTATAGTCCCACAGCCGTGTAGGGCCTTTTTGTGGGCTCCACATGATGGCGCTGTGGGCGTGGCGATTGGATCTGCAATTAGAGGAAAACAATGTACATCAAATTAGTTCGGGTTCAGTTTCAATTGTGGGACTACCTCACTGGTTTGTGTATTAAAATTAAACCTCGGCAGTTGAAATGGAGAGTACCGGAGGGGTCTTATCTGGTTTTTGCTCTCCACCACTCTTTTTGAAATGGACTGCTGCGTCATCGACCAAAACAGTGGGTAATCAACACACAGAAAACATGTTAACTGTCTAACAATATTTTGTTTGGAAGAGTACTTGGCTATTTCCATACAATTTGAATTGAATTTAATTGATGTATCAGAGTGGTGGAAAGTAGAAATTAGCTGTTGTCCCCAATCAACATAACTAATTTAAACGCTTTCACTCCACTGTGCCGGCATGTGTTATTCTATGTCCATTCAAGCCAGTTAACATTATAGGTATACTATACATTCAATTAATTACATACTACATAATTGATCTAATTTATACAATAAACTTAGGGCTAAATGAGAGAAATTTCACAATAAATTTGACTTAAACGAAGACTTTTTTGTTTGCAATATAAAGTATTATATATCCCATTGTTAGCAAGGAAGTGCGAGTTCAATTTAAATTGGACACGAATTCGTTTCGGACACTCGCAGCCACAGGTGGAAGGAGCGAAAGTCGTGATCTGCAGTAAACGGAGCCACAAAAATTGCAGCAATTGCAATGAATGATTGACTGATCCCCTGATCCCAATGCAATCTATTGCCTTGATGACTGCCATCGTTAATCGGTGCTTAGAGGCAAAAAAAAAGTTAGTTGAATACTAAACCGCGGCTCTAGATTATTAACATATCAAATGTCGAATCTTATATTTCTTAAAAAGCCACAATGATTGTTCCAATGCAAGAAAATGTGCTAATTATTAGCAATTTGTAATGATTAAATTTCTCTCGTATATAAATAATTAATCATCTTAAGAATAATCTACATTTTAGTGATTGCTAATCTACGGATCCAAGAAATTCCTTAGATAGATACTGTGATTAACCGTATGTTCGACCATCCAATTATATTGTAAACACAAATTGAAACCAAGCTTGTAGTGTCATTAAGTAATTCCACATGACTTAATTATACAGCCTAGTAGCAGACATTCTTCCCACCGAATTCTTAACCCGAATTCCTTTCCTTTCTTTCCTTTCTTCTGGGGCTTCTCCTTTTCTTTCACCCCCCTCCCCCCATCGGAAATTCCCTAATTGTTCCCCTTTTTGTGGGGCGGCACAAGAACACAGAGTGGGCGCGGTCACATCGTCATCATCATCATCGTTGTCGTCCTCCGACCAATTCGTATGTTAAATATCAATTGTTAAAGGCTCTTACCCGCTCTTGTTGTGGCATGTAATTTTTTTTTTGTTTTTGATTTTTGGTTTTCCTTAGCTGGTTGAACGAGCCCGTCGGGGTAATAAAGATGTCGATGCTCGTCATTAGCGCGGTGCTCGTATCCGGGGCCAGATCGCACTTAACCTGACGCCCCCCGGCCAACGGACTGGCCGAAAATTGCCCGGCTACGTGAAATGGCCGCAAATGTGCGGCCACGAAAAGAAGCCATAAACAAATTGAAATTTAATAAACGGCCGGGCCGCCAATTTCCCTGGACCTGATCCTCGCGAACCCGAACTTGGACCCGAATCCGAACCCGAATCCAAGAACCTGCCATTGGAGCCGCGCACTCTCGACTCTGATCCATTCGATCACGGGACCCCCGGGGGCGCCATTTCAACATTGCAAATTGAGGTGCCTGAGATCGATGTCGATGTCGATGGAGGTGGAGGTTGAGATGTGGCCATGTGCAGATGGAGTTGGAGATGGGGGTAACACTGCTGCTCGTGAGTCATTGGGGGAATATCGAACATGGCCCGTTTGCTGAACCACTGTCAACCAAATTCTTCATTCGCCTAATTAATTGATACATCAAATATTGATTGAAAATCTAACACTTAGGAGACTTGCTGAATTCATTTCGAATAAATAAATATTTCTATAAAACAAGAAAGGAAGCAAACTTCGGCAAGCCGAAGTTTATATACCCTTGCAGTTATTAAAAATCGACTACATTTCGATTTCTACGCCTATATTACTAAACAATGAAGATATGCCGATTTTTCGCTGATATTGTTGTCCGATTTTAATTTAATTAACCCCGTAATTCCATACCGATATTTAATTATTACCAAAGAACAAAGATAAAAATTAAAAACATTAAAGTTATAATTTTTTTGCTTTTTTTATTCCGATTGTTCCTATGGGAGCTATATGATATAGTCGCCCTATCCGTCTCGTTCCGCTTATATACTACCTGCAATAGAAAGACAAGTTTTAAGAAGTTTCAAGCAGATAGCTTTAAAACTGAGGGACTAGTTTGCGTAGAAACGAACAGACGGACAAACGGACGGACGGACATGGCTAGATCGACTCTCCTGGTCAAGAATATATATACTTTATAGGGTCGAAAATGGCTCCTTCACTGCGTTGCAAACTTTTGACTGAAATTATAATACCCTCTGCAATGGTATACAAATAAGATTTTCCTTGATTGATATGTATTATATGAATATTATTTGATATGTATATTGTTCTATTTATAGTAAATATTAAACTTCCTATTCAGGATAGAAATTTTGATTAAGTATCATGGATTTAATCGTGGGAATGAGCCATTTATCGCATCAATTCAATCATCCAATCTTCCATTAATAACTTTTTGATAACCTTGTTTAACACCCTGCGTGATAATTCTTAGGCTAGATGGCCGAAAATTTCACTGCAAACTTTCCAATTTGTTCAATTCTTTCGCACACGGGCCCAAATAAATCCGATAAATATTTACCCGGTCGATTGTGCGTTGGCTGCTGCGGCACTTTCCCTGCTTACCAACCAGCACCAGATCGACCAGCAATTAAAGAGACGCCGGCAATCAATCAATCAATCAGCCAGTCAGCCAGTCAAGCCCACAGCACTGCCATAGAGCAATAATAATAAAATCTCATTTCTTGCCTCCTTTTCATTGTCCAATCTGTATGCTCACTTTTACCCAGGTGCGCTGCTGTTTTCAACAGGTGAAAATGAAATCGGAAACAAAGCGAATTCGAATTCGGATTCCGATTCAGATTCGAATGCACGAAAAGATATGATGGACAAGACAAGCCTCCGCGATTCAAGCGCAAAAATGCGGTCAACGGAGATTCTTCGCAGAACTGTAAATGAAAAGACCCGACTCTATATATTGTATATGGCCCACCGGTAAACGGTAAACGGCCGATATGCTTATTTGTCTTTAATTCGGAGCCAATTAATTTCTCTCCTCTTGTTTATTGTTTTTTTTTCTCCTTTTTTCGACTTTCGTCTAGCGAGTGAAGAGTGAAAACTGGTCAGATTTGGGGCCGAAATTGGTAAGTAGCGTTTAAGACAAAGCAGCAGACTGCGGCTAGACTAACTGTAACTCAGGTGTCGATTTGCATGTGCGCCGGCGGATGACGTCCAATTAAGAGATCTACCTATGGGCACAGATGGGTTTCATCTAAGTGTATATATATATATCTAGATCTAAATAGGTCTATTTACAGTACTTTTGAATAATATTAATAATGCCCTAATAAAATGCTTGGACTATGAAAAGCAGTCGAACGTAGGTATAATATTTAAGACTCTGTCTAAAAAACCTACCTTTGATACAAAGAACGTTGAGCAAAAGATATCATTATCGAGTTCTGCATTTATCTTATTTACTGTTATCAAACCTGCCTAATTATAAAGAAATTATGGAGTTTTGTATTTATTTTGTTTACCTTTATTATACCTGCCTTTGAACCCAATTTGACTTAGTTTTCACTTAATGTGGTTTTGTTTATGTAAGTTACCCTTTATTTTTGAAATTACATAGGTATGCTTTCAATAACGTTTATATTTTAACACAAGAATAAAACTTTTCTCAAATCAATTACTTTAGGTAGGCGTCAACTCATGAGCAAAAAACAAAGAAATATTAATTTTTTTTGTGCCCTAATAATAATTTTGTTCTTATAATAATTAAGTAAGATTTACTGAGCTTTTGAAACTAGGTGCTGTTTAGTTTAAATGTATACGGATTAATAAATACATGGGGTAAGATATAGTTTATTTAAAAGAATATCTTTTATAAAAGAATATTTAAAAATATCTTTTAATGGTTTAATAGTTTTCAAAATATGTTTTCCATTTGGCCCAATTTATTTTAAAGAATATATCAGGCTTTAATATCACCTGATACAATAGCTTATTATTATTTCAACAAGGTCTTCCTTTTATTCAAATTTCTCTAAGATATTGTATTAACCTCCCATATACCTTTTATTTAAATTTCTCTAGGATATTGTATTAACCTCCGATATACCTATATGTACATGTTTTTAGAAATACAAGTACCTGGCAAAGAAAAGTAGCACCTTTCCCATGGCTGGGATCTGCTTGGAGACAGAGATAACCAAGCCCCGACTAACTAACAAACTAACTAACTAAGCCAAAGAAAGTGCGACGGAGCTTTCGGCCGCGTGTTGCACGCTCTAGTGGCGCTTAATTAATGACGCCGCCGCAGCTGCTTCTGCTGATGCTTCTTCTTCTGCCACTTCTGCCGCTGCAATTAACAGTACCGCACTTGCAGCGGCGGGAAAAGAGCGGAAGAGCGGAAAAGTAGAAGTTAACTCGACACGCTCTGCGGGATTGGCCCTCCACCTCCATCTCTATATCTCCGCCATATATACCCCAACCAGATCCGATCCATTCATTGACTCATTAAATATGCATCAAGTTAAAAACGAAACGAACGAATCAAATCGAAACAAAATCGAATCAAAAGCAAACGAAATCGAAAAGAAATTGTCGCATCAAAAGGCGATCAATGCCGAACTTTGCTTACGGTTTCGGTTTTCACTTTTCTTGTGGAAATGGAAATGCCAGTGGAAATGGAAGTGGAAATGGAGTTGGAGTTGGATCCGAGTTGAAAATGCCGATGGCGCCGACCACTTTCGAATCGAATAACGGTCTGTGCAAAAAGCAAACGGTAAATCACCTGCCCATGCTTCATTTCTGTTTATATATTTTCCGTAGCTCTTTTTTGATGGGATGTATACCGAGTATATTTTTAGCTTCTGTTCGACCAACGGTGGGGCCTAGCTTAGCTCCAGTGAAAAGCGCAATAATCACGATATAATGATAATGATGCTATGGCTATGGCTTTGACTATGGCTATGGGAAAAGCAAAGCCGAAATCAAAATACATTTTTAAATGGTTCACTTTCTTTTAATTAAACTGGTTCCAAACCAGCCAGCAGCACTGGGGCCACCTCCAAGTTAGCCACCTTTTTCGAGCAAGTTTGTCCACTTTTGGCAAGCGATTTTATTTTTTCGGGGCGCATTTCAGCGGACAATCGCCAAATGCAATTTTATTCGGTGTAATTAGCCTGGTACGAGCTGGCGCAGCAATTAAAGTATGGAGCCACCATAGGATGCATAGATCCATTACGAACTTAAGTTTTAAACAAGCTGTGAACAGTCTGGCGCTCTCGGTCGAGACTTAATAGCTTCAGAATATTAAATTTCAGCCAACTAGCAGGCAACAATTTGCCAGTAAATCTCATGGAGGAAAAAAGATGAGGGGCAGACATAGATGCTGAGGCAGAGGCAGAGGCAGACAAAGATGACATCGTTTCCCAGTTGTTGCAGCAGTTTTCAACAGCTATCCTGCAGCTGGAAACGTTCAAATGGCGCTGGCAAAGACCGAGAACGTGTCAAACGGCCCCTGACTCCATTCTCCATTCCTATTCCTTCATTCCGTCCGCCGACAGTTGAAGCTATTCAAATTTGGGCCAGGCCCAGAGCCTGGGAATCATGGCTTGGAGACCCATTTGCAGCGAAACTTTTGTTTGGCAGTCTGTTGTCAACATGACAACTGCAACTGCCATCCGAGCCCCCATCGTCATTCACGACTTCCCCCAGAGTCAAGTGCAAACAATGCTGGCCGGGAATGGAGATGGGGTGCTGATGAGGCGACTGTTTCGGATGCACGGCCTCTAAACCAAAGCCAAAGCCAAAGCCAAGTCCAGCCAGCTGCTTATCATCGGATGCACAGCCCAAGACGGGAAAAGAAGAACTTAACAACTTTATTGGGCATGTTTATGCCACAGAGTGTTCAAGAGATGGTCGATATACCAAGTGTCCTAGGGTCATTTGGCACTCTTGGTGTCTTTGAAGACTTTGGCCACTAAAATAAGTTTCTCAAGTTCCAGACTCTTGAGCTTTAATGTTAATTTTGAAAAGCTTAAGTCCTAAAGAACAGCTTTAATTTATTCAGATACAAAGTTTGCTAAAATAATTTAACAAAAAATCCAAAAGGAGAAACTTTAAAGCTTTAACAACAATCTTTAATTCTTTAATATATATTCTATATTTAATTGAACAAGACTTTCTTGCTTCGGATACAATGACTCAAAAAATTGTAATGTGTTGTGAGCTTATTTAGTACTCTTTTACACTGTTAGGGATAAAATTAAAAATATTTTCAGGATAAATCTATAAATTCACAACATTGTTGCCAAGTTAGGGTACTTAAAACCTCAAAAGAAACTTTTTCTCTTCGGTAAAACAATTTGTTCTTATGTTAGTTAAAGAACAACTTAATCGGCCATCTGGCAATGTTCAAGTGTAAGCTTAATCTTAAGATCCACAAATTGTATTTTTCAAAGTGTTTAAGATATCTTAGTTTGATGACCCGAATTAGGAGAATCAGTACTCTCACTTTTCTAACCCAGACTCCGAGTGGTTGGGGCATAGATGCACTAAAGGCCGAAATGTGCCACGAAAAGTTTCCATTTCATTATTGGAATGTTTGTAGAAAGGCAAAGAACAGTTAGACGACGAGACGCCGGCATTCCCCCTCCCCCCATACCATATACCATCTACCATCCATCCAGTGTCCGAAGTATCTTTGATGATGGCTGAATACAAATTAACATTCTGTGAAAGAAAAGGCTTGTCGACGACGCTTTATCTGTATCCGCATCTGCATATTGTACACGTCTTCGTATCTGTATCTGAATCCGCTGTATCTACGATGTATCCGCGAATGGGATGTGAAAGAGAGGCATCAGCAGCACTGGGAATAGAATTTACTGGGTCGAACGCGGCCGAAGATCATAAATTATGTGTCATCGATGAGCCAGAGATTCAAGACAATGAATGAAGAAACGATGGATCCAAGGGGCAGACCTTGGATCCAGAGGTGGGTAAACAGGGTAAAGCCGCTTAGGGTCCCCCCAATAATGGCTAAAGCAAATCATTTGAGGCCAAACAAAGAGATAGTCCAGCACAAACAGACGCCGCCGTGGAGATAGTTGCCGTTGGCCAATACCGATACCAATACCCACAGCGATACCAATACCGATACTTATGCCAATGCGACAACGAGACCAGCAACTTGGCATTGCATTTATGGCCAAGTCGCGTGTTGGTTTGCTGCTTTTGCTGCTGCCAATCTGGCCTCCTGGAATTGAGTTTATTGTGCCACAGCGGCGTGCTTTGGATTGTCGCATCAGCTTAATTAGAATTCGAAGTAGTTAACGGTGCATTTAATGCGCTCCAAAACGGATCAAATGCATTAGCACCGCTACCACTCACTTCTTGGCCAGTATCTGTTGGCCAGCGAGATCTGTTCTATTTATCTCTGTTCTTTTGCAGACGTTCGCAGACTAATGAACCAAGTGCGGTGACGAAAGTTGTCATAACATTTAATCTGCAAGGAGGATGAGGATAAACCCCTCAAGGGGCCGTCGTATTGCCATTGCCAAACGGCTTAATAGTGGGTATGTGGTCGGGAAAGGTGTCAAAACATAATAAACTTGTTTTCGGCGCTGTTATCCCCGTGTTATCTGTCTGCCTTGTATCGACCATCATCTTGCTTGTTTAATTAATAAGTCGATAAGTCAGGTGGGTTGCGGGCTTGAAACGGTTTTTTGCCATCCTTCTTTCGATTTTAATTTGCTGAATAACTCTCATATATTATCATTTGGAGTTTTCAAGACCAAAAATTGTACGTCACCGTCACACAAATTTTCGAAAACAAATAATATGATTATCTAGAAAAGATTTTAATGTACAGGATAAGACCAAGATCTATAAGTTTTATCACATTTAAGCAGAATCTTGACTTTCCCAAATTAATGTTTTCAGTAGTTTTTTGGTGATAAATATATAAAATTCTATAACTTAATCTTGTAGGTGTTATTTAGAGTTAAAAGTTATAGAGATTTGAGGATATATTTAATGAGTTGCTTAGCTGAAAAAAATTAGCTTTTAACTTACCGGTAAAGAGTAATCTTTCCGAAGGTCAAGACACAACTGTGTGTGATACGTGATCTATCTCGGGTGCCGTGGATTCCTTATATTTCCGTGCTTTTTTGAAATCCCGGTTCTGCGTTTGGTAAATGCATTAAAATGTGTGAGTTGGGCACAACAAAAAAGTGGTAAAAAACTGTGTACAGAGTAGAGGAGGACAGAAGTGAAATCGGAACAGAACGGACTGAACCGGACCGGACCGCCTAACACGTAACGCAAATAAAGAAGAATCATCAGCAAGTTCGACTTCGAGTCCAAGCGAAGTCCGTGCTCATGGCGACTGATTGGTGATTAGTTGCCATTTGACAGGTGTATGTGATTCGGGGAAGGAGGGGGAGGGTCGGTCAATAAATGGTGCACCTGTTGGGCGTGTGGGAATTATGATCTGCCAGATGACGTTGCTACTTTTTGTGGGTCTCTATGATGGTTGTGATTATTATTATGTATGATTGTTATATTTTCCACACGGGGGAAAAACTTTTGAAAGTGCCAGCCAGCCGCCAAAGCAGTGCATGCAACACCTTTGATTTTGATTTCGATTCTGGCCAGGCTGAGAAGACACTCTGCAGGCGAGAGATAGAGAAGAATCAGTAGAAGAATCAGTAGAAGAGGTGCGCGCAAGAAGCGGAGGCAACAAGCCAGCCGCATTTGTGCTAATTGGGAAAATTAGAAAGCATGAAATGCTCGGCTGCATTTGCTGTCTAGCTGGTTAATCGGCTCCACTGGAAGCGCTTGAAGATGCTAAAGAAGAAGAAGATGCTGGAAAGGCAAAGACTGGACGTTTTATAGAACTTCAAAATTTTTTGGAGGAATAATAAGGTGCTGGAATGGCAAACCAGCATGTTTTACAAAGTTGAAAGTTCTACAGGCTTCGCCGGAATTAAGAGACCAAGACGCTGGAAATGCAAATATTACATGTTTCTTAGTTTAATTGGTTCTAATGGAAGCTGAAGGAAACGAATAGGATCCTGGATTGTAGACTGGTGAACTGGCTACTGAAAGCAGAAGAAAAATAAACAGAAGCTGGAATGGCAAGGACTTGCAGGTTTCACAGAATTCAAATTTCAATTGACTCTACTGAAAGCAGTAGAATAGGAAAAAGATACTAGATTGGCGAATCCTGGATGTTTC